CATACTTGAACTTGAAATGGACTTTAATGTTTTTCGGTAGCTTTATTTCCTTAGTTTCCGAGCTGTTTTCTTTACTGTGTATGTTGTAATAAACTATTCCTATATTTACAGTTGTTTCTCCCTGTGAAGATTATTAAACAATGGTGATTATAAGGGCGCGGAAGTTCAGCCTGGCCAGGGCCGCCAGCAGCCCTTGGGCCCGCCCCGGCAGCTCCCAGTCTTTAATTTGGCACCTTTGTGGCACCTTTGTGGGACCTTGGTGTAAGCCTAACATGTATATATACACTGGCTGCCTGTCCCCCTACACAATGATTTATTATTACCTATTATTTTATCATTTAATTTAAATATTAAATAAAATAATTTATTTAATGATTATAGTAAGTACTTAATAATTTAATAATAAGTAGTAAGTACATAAAAGAAAATCAATCAATCTTAGCTACATATGTGCTTTAATATACTGTACCTACAATTTTCTCTCCTTTTTTTCTTGCCATGTAACTGTTATAATTTTTTTTTATAAATTTTGCAAGTATTTACCTACTTAAAATTTTCTTAGATTAATTAAGGACCTGCCCGAAACGTTGCGCGTACTAGTGGCTTTACAAGATTGTAATTACCATATAATGTATCCTCACATTCCCAATGTACCTTCTTGTATATGCATAAATAAATAAATAAATAAATAAAAAATAATTAAAAAGTACAGTTTAGTCATAGGAGATTCCTATATTGGAATTCACTACCAAATTTCGATATATCCAAGTATTTTTAGTGTGAAATGCTGTTATTATATGCATAAATTGTTGTTTTAATAATATTACGCTTAACCACTTGGGCTGGACGGTAGAGCGACGGTCTCCTTTCCTACAGGTCCGCGTTCAATCCCCGACCGCCCAAGACGTTGTGCACCATTCCTTTCCCCCGTTCCATCCCAAATCCGTATCCTGATCCCTTCCGAGTGCTATATAGTCGTAATGGCTTGGCGCTTTCACTTAATAGTTCCCCAACCCCTCCTGAATAATATTACGAGAGCAGTATTTACGGGCTATTCATGCCCGTGCTACCTCTAGGGGGGCTTAATCTTCATCAATCGAGAGCAGTACGTCCTAACCAGACGTTATATGATGATATCCTGAACAGTTGATAAATAAAAGTAATTGCGGAACTCCAGTTATCTAATACTTATCATAAATGGTATAAAACCTTATCATAAGCCAAGGGATTCGTAGATCAGTGTTTAAAGGGAATTCGGAAGTAATAATAACACAGCTGATGCCATCTGTCGGCAGACGAGAACACTATCAACTGGCAGGTCAACAGTGGCCATAAGATACAGCTTACGCCATCTGTTGACATCAAATTACACTTATAACAAATTACCCTGCAAAATACAACTAACGCCATCTCGTTTTTTTCCAACGCACTATAAATAGCCAAACAGCAACCCATAAGGCGGGTTGTTGTGCTCGGGTAGGAGGTTCCAAGCTCTGCCCCAAGATGGTATGGGGTGCATAATAAATGGCATATCATTGGTAGATGTTCTTTGTTGACATTCACACAACAGCCAATCACAGGAAGGGATCAGTTAAAGGCTCCATCCACTTAATAAATCATCTTTATTCAGCACACCATCCTTGCTTATGACATTCTGTTTCAACTTTAATCTACCTAAAAAGTGAAATGTTAAGTATTTAAAAGTATTAATATAGTGATAATTAAATACTGCAGGATATAAGAGATGTTATATAAAAATGGGTTGGCTACTTAACTTGTGACGTTATTATTGGGGGTTGCCTTGACACAAATAATGATACACTGCTCTGCCCTCTTATTCGAGTAAATTATTCAGTTAGATAGAGATTTCTGTGAGGTGCAAAACAGAAATTGTTGTTCTTTTTTACAACAACCTTATTGTTGTGCACAAGGATCTATTTCTTAGTTTAAATTTTATTCATAAAAGAGTGTTGGTATTCCCCGCAACAGCCAATCACAGGAAGGTAATTCTGGAAGCTCGGCCTCCTTATGGACTCAGCACATCGATCTAGCTCATGGCTCTAAATGGCTAAATTCAGCCATTAAATGGACTTTGTCTGGTATACATACAAACATACACCAATTTATTACCATTCACCCATTATTAATTTAAAATGTAATGTATACTGTCTAGTTTTTTCCTCTCGCCATTACTTGGTGCAATATTTGAAAGTTGTCTATTTATTTATCGATCGATCTATTATCTCGTATTTATATTAACAAGTTTCTGTGCTTGGAAGAAAACTCTGCATTGAATTGGGACTAATTTATTAAATAATATTATTTAGTATTAATTAATATTTACATTTATTATTAATTACAATTATTTATAGCTTAGTTACTTTCATGTAACTCGTAATCGTACAATCTTAACATTAATAGCCCAAATTAGCACATCTTGCTTTTAAATTAGCCCAAAACGTAGCAAGTAGCGAAATTAAAAATTTGGGAGCGCGGGGCTCTCAAAAGTACCCCAAATTCGCTATTTGTAGCCCAATCTGGCAACACTGGCCAGAACACGCCCCCCCCCCCCCCAAAAAAAAAAAAAAAACTATCAACAATCCCTTGACCCAAGGCGATTGTAAACACTATGCAAAAAAGGGACCCAGTCTATGGAACTCACTCCCTAATGAATTGAAAAGCTGTAAAACTTTTGCGCCATTCAAAAACAAAACTAAAAAGTACCTAATTTCATCTTCTTATTTTTTTTACCTTGTTGCTTTAAAATTGCACTGTATATATTGCTACCCAATCTCCCAATCTTTATGTACCCAATCCGAACATCTTTACCATTGTGATTGATGAAGATTAAGCCACCCAAAAGGTGGCACGGGCATGAATAGCCCGTAATTACCATTATGATCATTGCTGTCTTTTTATATGTGCTATCAATCTGCTGTATGGTGCCTATTAATCTTGTTTAAATTACCAATCAAGCTGTCAATGTAATCAATCAGAGCTTTAATATACCAATGTGCTTTAATATACTTACTAATCTTTTCTGAGGTTGGAAGAAAACGCGCTCAGAGTGGGGACTTAATTGTTTATTTTTTAATAATAAATAATAAATTGATAATAAATTAATAAATAATAAATTAATAATAAATAAATTATTATATAATAATAATAATAAACAGTATAATGATAAGCAATAATTTTAATGTATCAAATAGCTAATTAGGGTGAATGATAAATAATTAGTGACTGTAATGCATAACATTAATAAAGTAGTAAAAAATAATTATAATGAATAATCATCATAATGATAAAGTATTAAATCAATTACAATTAATAGTTACATCTATAGTTAGTAATTGAAAGTTGCATTATTTGAATTTACACTAATTACAATTCATGGTAATATTTCTTAGCTATCTGCAAGCTTATCACTTTGGGGGTTCCGGTGGAGCACCCCCAATCCCGCGAAGGCCAGCGGGGCGGAAATTACCGATCAAGTTGTCAATGTAATCAATCAGAGCTATAATATACCAATGTGCTTTAATATACTTACTAATCTCTCTCATTTCATTTTTTTTCTTGCAATGTATCTGTTATCATTTTATTAATTGTGCTAGAATTTACCTACTTAAAATTATCTGTTAGATTAAGGACCTGCCCGAAACTCTGCGCGTACTAGTGGCTTTACAAGATTGTAAATACTATGCTATGTATTCTCACAAACCCAATGTACCTTCTTGTATATAAATAAATAAATAAATAAATAAATAAATAAATAAATAAATAAATAAATAAATAAATAAATAAATAAATAAATAAATAAATAAATAAATAAATAAATAAATAAATAAATAAATAAATAAATAAATAAATAAATAAATAAATAAATAAATAAATAAATAAATAAATAAATAAATAAATAAATAAATAAATAAATAAATTAATTAATTAATTAATTAATTAATTAATTAAATTAATTAAATAAATAAATAAATAAATAAATAAATAAATAAATAAATTAAATAAATAAATAAATGTATTCTCACAAACCCACTGTACCTACTTGTATATAAATAAATAAACAAATAGGTTGAGTGCGAACGCTTGTGTACGAAACTATCGTACACTCAAAGTGTAAACACGGCCCCAAGCGCTGAGTGCACGACCTCTGTTGCACGACTCTTGCATCTGCACGACTCCTGCATCTGCACGACCACTAGTGTTCGGGAAGAGGAGGAGGAGAGGTGTAGAGCGAGCACTTGTGAGAGGCGAGGATGAGCAAGCGGAAACACCCATCCAGCGCTGGCAACCCCAATGCTTCCATCTGTGATCTCCTCTTGGGTCAGTCCTCCTCTCTGGTTTTCTCTTATAAACAAACAGATTAATGAATTCAATTGGTTAACATGTAGGTATTAGAGCATGAATTGATCAACGCATCAATTGATCAATACATCAATTGATCACTGCATCAATTGATCATGAATTGATCAAAGCATCAATTGATCATGAATTGATCAACGCATCAATTGATCATGAATTGGTCAAGTGCTCATATAGATTTGGGGCGGAAACAATAGCAGAGCAGCGTAATTCAATAATCTCCGTTGAGAATGCTAAATAGAGTCCCAGTTGAGTTTTAAATCATTTCCAGGGTGAATTATCAAGCAGGTTTTAGCTGAATTTACCCGAGGGCCACTATCTCTCTAGTGGCTTCAAGGAGGATAGGAAGCTGGCAGCTTGTCAAAAGTCCTCCCCATTTGTCTTCATGATTTTGTTTATTTTTATATATTTATTTATGTAAAGCCACTAGCACACATAGCATTTCGGGCAAGTCCTTAATTCTAATGTTCCCCGGAATACGACACGCCAAATCGTTTTAACAACCAGGTACCCATTCACTGCTGGGGTGAACAGGTGCTACAGTTTGACGCACAGTAAATCCTCCCCGGCCAGGATACAAACCCAGGCCAAAGAGCTCGCGAAATGCGAGGCAATTGTGTTACCACTTCACCACGGAGACTTTATCGAGCTGGATTTTGAAATCCAGCAGAGTATTTGCATTTACAGTTTCGGCGGGTTGCCGGTTTCATGGGTTTATAACCCCGTGGCCGAAAAAGCATCTGTTCTCTGTCCTACATTGTGGCTTGTTGAGCTTGAGAGCATTGCTCCTTGTTTGTTACATCTGACCATTGAAAAAGGATCAATATCCTCCAAACTGTTCAGTTTTTGTGTAAGTTTTATGAGGCCAGCCCTGTCATGCCTGGTTTACAGTGTTGTTAGCCCTGTGGCCCTGGACTGTCCTTGGTATGAGAGCCGACTTAGTTCTGGAATGAGTTTTGTTGCTTGGTATTGAACGTGCTGCTTTTGTTCTCATTGGGCGAGCTCGAGGTGTACATTCTGCCGTGGTGGTATTGTTAATTCAAAGGATGACTGACTCCACTCAATAAACTCATCCTTTGGAGCAAAATTTAAAATGAGTACATTATGTATACATAAATACAGACCATTGGCTAAACATTTTGGTCATTTTTTTTTGTTTTTTTCAGGGCTAGAAAACATCATTGTATAAGGGTATGTACGGTTTAATTAGCACTCTGGAAGATAACACAGTTGTCACAGTTAAATAACTATGAACTTTTGAAGGTTCTGGAATATATTTAGGTGTTTTGGTTGAACATATGAGTCTTGGGATTTTACAGAAATTGAAATTGAAATAAGTTTAGTGAGGTAAAATACACACAAAGCGATGAGGTAGCTCAAGCTATTCTCACCCCGTTCAGTACAACCTGTTCATACATATATAGACACATCACAGACAATAAACATATTCCCCTCCTTACCAGACCCTGTCCCCTCCTTACCAAACAAGTAACTGACAAAAGAATAAACAATCCGTGGCTCACAAGTGGCATAATCAAATCAATCGACAAAAAACATGAATATGAAAAGAAATTTAGGATTGGCCTAGTTACAAAGGAAGTAGTTAAAAGGTACTCATCAGTGCTTATCAGTATCATAAGAAAAGCTGAACTTTCATATTATGAGACTAGATTCAAAGAAGCAAAAGGCAACATGAAAAGCACATGGAATACCATCTCTAATATCTTAGGAACTAAACAACACTCCCACAACCAGATAACACTCTCTAAGGATGGCTTTACACCGTCAACTGATTTAGAAATGACAAATGAATTTAATAGCTTCTTTTCATCAGTTGGTGCTAACCTTGCCAGTAAAATCCCACAGACTCAGACACATATCAACACATATCTCTCAGGCAGCCAATATATATATATATAATTTAATATACCAATGTACTTTAATATACTTACTAATTTCTCTCATCTCATTTTTTTCTTGCAATGTATCTGTTATCATTTTATTAATTCTGCTAGAATTTACCTACTTAAAATTATCTGTTAGATTAAGGACCTGCTCGAAACGCTGCGCGTACTAGTGGCTTTACAAGATTGTAAATACTATGCTATGTATTCTCACAAACCCAATGTACCTTCTTGTATATAAATAAATAAATAAATAAATATTACCGAACATTCTGAGAGATGAACATATACATTTCTTCCTTTACACAAGTACAGTAGTGTGATACCAGATGTACACAAATACTTTTATGACTAGGTATATAGACAATTTGCAAGAGACATTCAGGCAATTCAACAAAAGGTTACAATCTAGGTGCAAAATTCTTATATCTCTCCAGAATATCATCAACCTTTCCATTGTGACACATCCAGGCTATTTGTTCAGTAACAGTCCTTATCTCAGTGTTTCTATTTACATTAATCAACGGGCAATCAAGAACATAATGTGTGAGGGTGTGAGACCTTAACATACGACATAGTTTACACTTCGTGTCATTATCACCTATCCCATATTCCCAGTAATATTTGTACCCAAGCCTGAGCCGTATATGTATTCATATGCATATGCAGTCACTCCAAGCATTTCTTGGAGTGACATTTCTCCCTTTTACCATAAGTGAAATGGGTGTTTTGATTTTACAGATGTAGCTTAAGACTATACCAAGGGTAGACAACCTTTTTTAAGTGTGCATGCCAAAAATTGCCAAATCTTTGATGCAAAATTTTCTCACGTGCCAACTAAAATTTTTGGGAGCCTCATTATTTCATGTTTTTTAAGCATTGTGAGAACCTTTTCAAATTCTGTAATATAAAATCACACTAGAATGGTAAAATCAAAGAATATTCTAAGAGTGATAATTATAAGTTATGTAAGATTGAATTTATGTAAAATTTAGTGATGGAATTTTTACTTAAATGTCATTCTACCTGGCTGATAGCATGGATATTATATATACATTACTGTGTCCAATCTCATGATCATTTTACTTTGTTAAAACACATTATAAGAAAATAAAATTAAAGATATTCTTGTATTAATTATTAATCTCTTATGAGTAATACATAAAAATTACATAGCTCAGAAAATTTTGTCATGATCACTCTTTACATGCACCTACCAAGTTTTATGTAAATCAGTTTGTGGGTAAGCAAACCAAATTTTCATACAATTATAAGTTTACCTACAATGATTGTAAAGGAGTCACGTGACATCTGGCCACCTGGTGGATGATGCAAAAAATGAACGACAAAACGTGTTCATCAGTATATCACTGAGATAGATGGCTTGGAAATAAGATGTTTGCTTCATTTTCTTATTACTTATTAATACTGAAATGTCTGTCAGTGGTTATTTGTTTAGCACACTTTTATATGGTTTTGCTTTACTTAATAGTGAGGTAATATTTGCTTATCACAAGTCAAGCCTGGCCTCAGGCCGGGCTTGGGGAGTAGAAGAACTCCCAGAACCCCATCAACCAGGTATCAACCAGGTAATAAAATTGCATTTTAGTAAGTTAAAATATGCAACTCAGCAAAAAAGTAGGATGGTTATTTATTTAATTATTTTTAAGGTAAGCCCTAGGTTTCATGTGCTAGAAAAGAGTTGTTGGGATGCCACATTTGGCACGTGTGCCAAGGGTTCCCACCCCTGGCCTATATACCTTGTGGCCAGTAATATACAAGTCTGTTAGGTCAGTTTTCTAACTGTTTCCAGAAATAAACAAAACATGGTACCTTGAGATCTGTTTCCTTTCTATGGTTTTAGGTAGCCTAAATGTTTTAAAGAATACATTAAAATATAAGTAATTTTGTAGGTTAGGGAAAGGAAGGAGGAAATAGTATTGAGAGTTATACTGTACTTGAAGTAAAAAAAAATAGCCGAGGAGGTTGGGGGCAGTGAGAGTTTGGAGCATCATGTTCCTTGATCGTACACACACTGAACATTTGTATGTTTGTATTTCAGAAATTGCTGAATATGAGAAAAATGTAAACCGCAACACATACAAGTATAATGCCTATCGCAATGCCGCAGCTGCTCTTGCTCAACACCCAACTCGAATTGAGAGTGGAAGTGAAGCAAAGAAGCTCAAGGGTGTGGGATCCAAGATTGGGGAGAAGATTGATCAATACATCAAGACTGGTCAGATGAGTAAAGTGGAGAAGGTAAACAATATGTTTTGTTACTTCAGGAGGTACACAATCAGTCGGCTCATTACTCTCCCATCTCCACCTCCAACCCTAACTCTAATCCCTCTTCTCCCTCTTTCACACACACACTCTCTCCATAGAGCCCAATAACTTGGACTGGTCCAGTACAGCGATGGTCTTGCTTCATGCAGATCGGCATTCAAGTCCCGACCATCCAAGCGGATGGGCACCATTCCTCCCACTTCCCATCCCAAATCCTTATTCTGACCCCTTCCAGGTGCTATAGAGTTGTAATGGCTGGGCGCTTTCCCCTGCTAATTCCCTCACTCTTCATGGGGTACTAATACCCACCAACTTACCATTATTATCAAAACATTCCTTGTGTACACCCCATGTGTCATTGAGATTCATCTGGCTAATAACTACCCTTCCCAAAATGCAACACAGCAGTTGCTTAACTCAGAATCTAAGATGGATTCCTGGATTAGAGGCTGGGTAAACAGTGTGAGTGTATACATATACAGTTTAAGTTTGCAGGTGGTGTATTTTTGTATTTCTTGTAATTTTGTCTCGGGCCCTTTAAGGCTTTCTTGGGTGCTTGCTTTATTATTAGTATTTTATTGCTCTGTCCATTTTAACATGATTTTCTTTACTTTTCTTTGATAGCAAATTCTATCCACCTTACTACACCATAACTGTATTTTATTTGTAAAGGTAACTGTCTTTATTGTACTTGATTTGTCATAACTCCTTTTCTTATTCTCTTCATCCGTATGTGGCTTTACATGATTCTTGCACTTGATGGTAATAAATTTGGGTTAATCATAAAATATTTCTCAGATTCGTGGTGATGATACAAATACTGCAATTAATCTTCTAACTCGTGTGTCTGGCATTGGCCCAGCCAAAGCACGCGAGCTAGTTGACGAAGGTATCACAACCCTAGAAGATCTGCGTAAAAATCAAGATAAGCTTAATCACCATCAGGTCATTGGACTGAAGTAAGTGTGCACATATATTCAGGGAAAGCATATTGCCAAGGTTGTAATGTTGGGAGAGATTATCCATTGTTTTTTCGGTTTCATAACACACTCAGAGGTCACATTAATTTATTGGAGTAGCCTGATAATATGCCCATTACAGATCTGGCCACATTCTGAACCTTGCATTCTTAACCTTTAACACACACTACAGAGCATGCATCATATTTCTACCTTTTATAGATTTACACATAGATAACTTGGCATTCATTCCTTCATTCTCTGAAATAGCTTATCATATATACTGCATTTAGTTTTCATTATAATTTAATTTAAAATTACTGTGCTGAGGTATATCATCGAATTATTTCAGGTACTTTGATGAATTTGAGATGAGGATTCCCAGAGATGAAGTTGAGAAAATAGAGAAGCAGTTGAACAAGCTCATCACCACTCACGACTCCGATTATCTTATTACAATCTGTGGCAGCTATCGGTAATATTTAACATTCTATATTAAAATTTTTACCAAGATGTGTGTGTAATTTTCTATATATAATTTTCTATTTTGATAATCGTAATTAATTTTATTTATATTATTTCAGGCGTGGAGCCAAAAGCAGTGGTGACGTGGACGCTTTACTGACCCATCCATCCTATACTTCTGAATCCAGCAAGTGTCCTTCACTGATTAAGAATGTAGTCGAGACACTGAAGGACAATGGTCTGGTGACGGACACTCTCTCCCAGGGCGACTCTAAATTCATGGTTTGTTTGTACTGTACTTGCTTTGACTATATACTGTAGATAATGTTTAGTGGCTTTACTCTTGTAGAAGAGTGATTTAGAAATGTTACTAACTCAAAAACAGGAGAAAGAGAAAACAAGGAGTGACTGTGAGTACCAGGAGTGGTTGTCAGTACCGTACCAGTAGTGGCTGTCAGTACAGTACCAGGAGTGGCTCTCGGTACCAGGTGACAAAATGGAAGGGTGTGGAGAGGGAAGAATGTTTACTGGTGTAAGAAAATGTAGAGCTGGATGGATGTGAGCAGGAAGAGGAGGGTAATGATATATAAAGGTTATGATTCAGTGACCTTCAAATCAACTTACTTCTCATTCTGATTTTATTTCCTGTTCTTTTCCTTTACCTTTCATTTAACCCACTGAACACTTGCTTACACTCTGTTGCTTTGATTTAAGTTGTTTATGCTTCCCAAATGAAAAGTCTTTGAGTTCCAGCCAGACCTGTGCTCTTGCTGACATGTGACCAGTGTTGAGAACGTATAGTGCGAATGTTGTTGTTTTAGATTCAGCTGCTTGGAACAAAATGTTCGAAGTAGCATGGGCTATGGTGAGCCCGTCGTTTTTACCTGTCACAGGAGATGTGCTATAGTGTGGAGGGCTTAAGGTGCTTAGAGAATATTACTACAGGGGTACCTCGGTTTAAGAATTTAATCCATTTCTGGAGACGGTTCGTAACCTGAAAATTTGTAAACCGAAGCTAATTTCCCCATAAGAAATAATGGGAAATGAATTAATCCGTTCCTGACTCCCCAAAAACTTCACTTCAAAGTAAATTTTATACCTAATTCACCCAAATCTACACTACAAAAGTATGTTCAAGTTATTACTTACCCTTGCTGATGACTCCTGTTGGCGTATGGAAGATGGTGAGGAGGGGGGAGGAGGAGAGGTGTTACTGTTTGGAAGGGGAGTCCCCTTCCATTATAACATCAGGCAGTGAAGATTTTTCTGGAGTGCACTCTCTGGCACGTTTTGCCTGCATACCACTAGGTCCTGGTTGTGGCTCACTGCTTGATTTTCTCACAACGAAACGATCCATTGAAGATTGTTTTTCCCTTCTTCGCAACATTTGTCTGTAGTGAGGCATCACATTGTCATTGAAAAGATTAATGCAACGGCCTACTACAGCTTTCTCTGGGTGAGTCGTTTCAATAAAAGTTTGCATTTCTTCCCACATCTGACACCACTTCCTAATTGTTGAGGAAGGGACATTCTCTTCTGCCTCATCCTCCTCTGAAGAAATATCCTCAGCTGCCTCTTGTTGCTGCTCCTTTTCAAGGGCTTGGAGTTCTTCGGTGGTCAGTTCTTCGTTGTGTTCTTCCACCAACTCCTCCACATCAGCACCATCCAATTCCAAGCCCATTTTCTGGCCCAGAGTAACAATTTCCTCAACAATAGGCACTTCATTTACAGGCTCAAACCCCTCAAAGTCTAGTTCTGTCACACATTCAGGCCACAATTTTCTCCAGCCAGAGATCAGGGTTCTTTGAGTCACTTCTTGCCAGGCTTTGTCAACGAGTTTTAAAGCACTACAAATGTTAAAATGGTGTTTCCAGAACTCTTTGAGGGTGAGGTTTGTGGCTTCAGTCACTTCAAAACATTTCCGGAAAAGTGCCCTTTCATAAAGTTTTCTTAAAATTTGCTATGATTTTCTGGTCCATAGGCTGAATTAGAGGAGTGGTGTTAGGAGGAAGGAACTTTATTGTGAAAAAATTATATCTGTTTAATAATGCATCTTCCAAGCCTGGAGGATGAGCAGGAGCATTGTCGAGGAGAAGCAGGGCCTTGAGTGGCAAACTTTTCTCCTGCAGATATTTTTGTATGGCAGGGCACACCACATCATTCACCCACTCCGTAAAAAAAATCCTAGTCACCCATGCCTTATTATTAGCCCTCCACATCACACACATTTGGTTTTTCTGCACACCATACTTTTTGAAAACCCTTGGATTTTCAGAATGATACACAAGCAAGGGTTTAATTTTCAAATCGCCACTCGCATTTCCACACAGCACAAGCGTAAACCTATCTTTCATAGGCTTGTGTCCGGGCAATGATTTTTCCTCCTTGGTAATGTATGTCCTCTTAGGCAATCTTTTCCAGAACAGTCCTGTCTCATCACAATTAAACACTTGTTGCGGTAGGTATCCCTCAGCCTCTACAAACTTTAAATTCTTCAATAAATCTTTCAGCCGCTGGTTTGTCTGAGCTGGCAGCCTCCCCATGCCTCACAACACTATGAATACCACTTCTTTTTCTAAATTTGTCAAACCATCCCCTGCTTGCCTTAAAGTCTTTCGTATCTGCACTCGTTCCAGGGGTTTTCTTTACAAGGTCTTCGTGCAATACCCTGGCTTTCTCACAAATGATGGCCTCTGAAACACTATCACCTGCTAACTCCTTGTTGTGTATCCAAATTAATAACAACTTTTCCACATCCTCAAGTATTTGTGGTCTTTGTTTCGTGATTGTTGATACGCCTTTTGCCACTTTAGCACTCATAATGTCCTTTTTCTTGGCAAGTACAGTGCATATCGTTGACATGGATTTGTTGTACTGCCTAGCTAGTTCAACAACACAAGTACCATTTTCATGCTTACGAATGATCTCTTGTTTTTCCTCAATTGTCATTCTCACATGCAATTTCTTGCCTTGAACCTTACCACTGGCTTTCTTGGGACCCATGGCGAGATATATAATAACAACTTTTATGCTCAAATGGCCAAAAATCCGACAAAAAACTGTAAATTCTTGTGAAGAATTCAGGCGGGATAGTCACTGGGTTCGAAGCACTGTTAAACTGAGACGCGATCGCTGTGCCTCCACGCGCTAGGTACGCGTATCAACAAACGGCCGTACGCGTATCAACAAACTCGTATCCCGATGCAAAGTTCGTACTGTATCCCAATTCCAATTTTCCGAACAAATCGGGCTCGTAACCCGAAAAGTTCGTAAAGGGATGTTCGTAACCCGAGGTACCACTGTACACGCAGGGTGTGTTCCAGCTGGAGGAGAACTTGCCTCACCGCCGTCTTGATATCCGACTTTTGCCCCACGACCAGTACTATTGTGGGATCCTCTACTTCACCGGGTCAGATATGTTCAACAAGGCTATGAGGGCACATGCTTTAGAACAAGGCTTTACTCTCAATGAATACTGCATCAGACCTATTGGCAGCACAGGTAATTAATGGCATTGGTGAATGTTTGGGTTAGGATCATTCACGGTACAACTTGTGGGGACAAATTACTGGTTATGTGGATAAACACACTGGCAGGTAAGGAGAGTAAGGTCATTTGGGATGTATAAAATTTTTTGTCTTAGCAGTTATTTTTGTGATTAAAAATAGACTTCAACCACAAATGCTATGTGGATAAGGAGTGACCAAGATGATCCCCTAGTAACTTTTTTAAAGTACTTGTACTTTTAATAATATAATGTGAAATTATTTCCCTGTCACTGGCTTGAGATTTATTAAACCTTAATTTGCTTTCACATTTTGCTCCAGATAACTTTTATTCCAGTAATGTATACACGAGGAACTCCCACAGGGCAAGTGACTGGGGGGAATTTTCCCCAGTTAAAAGAAAAAAAAAAAGTTCCTAGTAGTGTTGTGATTTTGTTCTATGTAAGTAATGGCGAAGGTGCCATAACATTGGTACCTTCATTTGACTTTTTAGGCATGAACTACTCTTGACTGGCTGGAAACAGGTGACTACTCTAAATGCAGACAATATTAGGAATCATCAGTATTTTGTATAATTTATATATAATCGGCATTGGTAAGTACAAATTATTTTGGTTGTAAGAAGTTGTACAGTTTAAATTTTCTTTAATTATTAATGTTTCTTTTAGGTGTTCCTGGTGAGGCATTGCCGGTGTCATGTGAAAAAGATATATTTGAATACATAAACTATAAATACAAGGAACCTTATGAACGCAATGCATAGTAAATGATGCAGAAGACATAAATACAGGTGTGTGTCTTATGTGCAGGGTTCAGTTCTGTAAATCATCAGCGTATAATAAATGACACAGCAACACATATAAACTTTCTCGGACTATTATGAATAATGTGGACAATTTAGAGGATTTGTGTAATTTGTTTTTAACTGTACATTAATATAGTTAAGTTTGTAAATGCTAGTCATTAGAAGTAGCATGTGAAATATTTGTTAAGGATTTTCCAGTGCATGTTTGGCAATCACACAAGTGAACTGCATTGTCTCTCATACAATTGCTCACCTCGTAGAATGATCTGATTTTTCAGGATGATCAAAGATTTTGCTTTTCCAGTGTCCACTCGACCCAATTGTCCCCTCGGTAAAATCCTTGGTGAATCCAGTACTTCTGACTCGTCATATGTCCTCTTTGCTCTGGTATTGGCATCATGAATTATGTCTCAGATATTTTTTGACTGTTGTGCACCACAGACAGTGCTAAATAGTCTTCCAGTCATGGTGCTTTCTGATGCACCATGATGCCATCATGGGGAAGATGATGGCGTTATCTTCTCTTAATCTCAAAAGAGAAAATGATGCATTTATTAGTTGGTTTTCAGCAACAGTAATGTGTTAATGGTGAGACGGGCCTCGGCAAGGACTAGCAAGTAGGACATAGTACTGTAGGGTATATGGCAAGTATCAAGTATGCCCAGGGCTGTAAAAGCCAAAGTCATGAGCAAACTGTGTTCATTGAAATGCTAATTTAGAGGTTGTTATGTATCACAATCAATGTATCACAGCTGCGGTGAGAGTGTACTGTTTAGAACTTATAGTGGGCAAAATTGTTTATGATATATTCGTTGAACCATTTATGGTATATAAGGAGTTTTACTATTTAAGCCACAACTTGACAGCATGATCGCTTAGTGCTTTATTTTGATAATTATTTGCACAGTCTGAGTTGATATTTATTTTTTTAGATATATTACAAAAAAGTAATGCACGAAATGTGCTAGCATGTTTCGTGTATTTTCTTAATAAATTTGTGGGTCGCGTCGTTTGTCATTCACAGTTGTATTTGAATTTAAAAAAGTGTATTTCTTCAGCTTGAACAGTTTTTGTTCTGTGTGAACAGTATTTCTTCAGCATGAACAGTGTTTAGCCATAATCAAACATATAATGTACAATAAACATAAACTTGGGGCAGTCTTTTTGGGCATTATGTTGTTTACTAATTTAGTTTAGTAATTTCAAGACTTTAAAGACATTATAGAACAGTTGAAGCAATAATCTACATTTACGTTTTACTTCAGGAAATAATCAGTCAAGAAAATATTGTATAGGTTCTTTCTTATATGTTTAATGAGACTTAATACTTCACAAATTTCCTGAGGAGGAAATATGTCGGTACTACCCAGTCTAATTGATTGAATTGAAAATGCAATAACCCTTCCATTTATGCAAGAGAGACATCGCAGGAAAATGTCATGCATAGCAAATTTGCACAGTGGTCCATAACTTCCCATTCCTCTTATCAGTAAAACACCTTCGTGAACATTATTTCTGTTTAATCCCACCATTCTACAGCCACAAATATAGTACATTCTCAATAGCAAAATACTGTACTTGGGAGGTTATTTCAGGCAAGAAAGGATTACAAATTGTCTTTAGGTATACAATAAGTGAAGACGTGGAATCTCAGTATGTTACATTTTGTTCACTAGCAGGAACTAATTGATGTTTGGATGAGAGCACTTATGAGTGATGGAATGTCTAATAAGACATTTCCTGAAGCTCCCACTTACCTCATATGTGGGTGTGCATTGCTGAATTATTGAAATATCATAATTTTCACAAATTCAAGATTCACTGCAAAGAGTAATGAGGCCTTCCCTCAGTTAAATACATGTGGAAATATAGGCCTTTCCCTCAGGTGTGAATAGGTTGACCTTCCCCTTGAATGTATTCAGTACTTTGTTATGTATATGAAGACTAAACCACACACCAGAAAATGAGGAGACGACAACGTTTCGGTCCGTCCTGGATCATTATCAAGTCGATTGTGATGATGGTCCAGGACGGACCGAAACGTCGTCGTCTCCTCATTTTCTGGTGTGTTGTTTAGTCTTCATATCTTGAGCCATGTTATTGTGACTCGTCGTCTTTGTTATGTATACTTTATCATAAGTTTTCTTTGCAGTAAATTTAAATGTGCAGTGCAGGAAAACACAGTCTAAATAAAAAAAGAAAAACAAATTTGGATTTGACAAATTTTAGAGTGAACATTTTCAGTATTTCTTGTCCTAGGGCAAACAACTATGTATGGTTCAGTGTAACTTATTTTATTATACACTATTTATGGTTTATAAGGATGGTCAAGGATTATGAAGTATTTTTATGTATTTTTAGTATACAAATAAATCATTATTTAAATTACAGTAAAGTATTATTATTGATGTCTGTGTAACATTTTTAAAGAGAAGTTATGTACAGTCTTAAGTGATTGTGTGGGGGTGATGGGGAAGTGATTGTGTGGGGTGATTGTGTAAGCACACAACTGCTTCCCAACACAAAAAAAACAAAACAAAAATAACTCAAAAATAAAAGAAACTGCAAACTGCTTTACACATATGTCTAACCTATACTTGGAAACTCTTCAGCACTCTCACGTCTATTTTAGTGACCGGGTATTTGTTTCATAAAGCAACAACCCTGTTTCAAAACCAATATTTACCACAGGATGGGAATAGGGGTGCAATACTATACACAGGATAAGTATGGGGAGCAATATCATCCACAGGATGGGTGTGTGATGGACTACCACCCACAGGATGGGTATGGGGTGCACTATCGCCCACAGGATTGGTATGGGGTGCATTACCAACCACAGGATTGGTATGGGGTGCATTACCACCCACAGGATGGGTATAAGGTGCAATACTATCCACAGGATGGGTATGGGATGCAATACTATCCACAGGATAGGTATGGGGTGCAATACTATCTACAGGATGGGTATTGGGGTGCACTACCAACCACAGGATGGGTATGGGGGTGCAATAATATCCACAGGATTGGTATGGGGTGCATTACCAACAGGATTGGTATGGGGTGCATTACCACCCACAGGATTGGTATAAGGTGCAATACTATCCACAGGATGGGTATGGGGTGCACTACCAACCGCAGGATGGATATGGGGGTGCAATAATATCCACAGGATTGGTATGGGGTGCATTACCAACCACAGGATGGGTATGGGGTGCATTACCACCCACAGGATGGGTATGGGGTGCAATACTATCCACAGGATTGGTATGGGGTGCATTACCAACCACAGGATTGATATGGGGTGCATTACCAACCACAGGGTGGGTATGGGATGCAATACTATCCACAGGATGGGTATTGGGATGCAATACTATCCACAGAATGGGTATTGGGATGCAATACTATCCACAGAATGGGTATTGGGATGCAATACTATCCACAGGATGGGTATTGGGGGTGCAATATTATCCACAGGATGGGTATTTGGGTGCATTACCAATCACAGGATGGGTATGGGGTGCATTACCACCTACAGAATTAGTATGGGGAGCACTACCATCCACAGGATGGGGTATGGCATGCAATGCTATCCACAGGATAGGTATTGGGATGCAATACTATCCGCAGGATGGTATGGGGGTAAAATACTATGCACAGGATGGTATGAGGGGTAAAATACTAAGCACAGGATGGGTATGGGGTACACTACCACCCACAGGATGGGCATAGGATGCACAATAGATAAAGTAAAGCAACTGGCGTTCAACCTTCAAGATGCAGGAAGATTCTCAGGACTACAAGAGACGGTAACTAAGCCATCTTAAGAGAGAACTACCACAGGGAGGGGGAATTGGTTGCGCTAATGTTAGCAAGGATGCCGCCACATGTTCTGGGCGGGCAATATAAAGTGCTGGGGAGGACCTGAGCGCAGCCATAGGTCACTCAGATACAGGAGTGAGAAGATGGTGTTGTTTGGTGGCTCCCTGCCGGGTGTGGTGGTGGTGGTGGTGCTCAGCCTCCCTCTGATGCTGGCCAGGGGCTTTCAAGGCATACCTGGTGACTTCTGCAGGAACAGGTCAGTCGTCTTACCCGTTTACCCCGTGTCTTGGGCATATTGGCCCTGTTTCTTGGGCATTTTAGCCCTGTGTCTTGGGCATTTTAGCCCTGTGTCTTGGGCATATTGGCCCTATTTCTTAAGCATTTTAGCCCTGTGTCTTGGGCATATTGGCCCTGTGTCTTGGGCATTTTAGCCCTGTGTCTTGGGCATTTTAGCCCTGTGTCTTGGGCATATTGGCCCTATTTCTTAAGCATTTTAGCCCTGTGTCTTGGGCATATTGGCCCTGTGTCTTGGGCATTTTAGCCCTGTGTCTTGGGCATTTTAGCCCTGTGTCTTGGGCATTTTAGCCCTGTGTCTTGGGCATTTTAGCCCTGTGTCTTGGGCATTTTAGCCCTGTGTCTTGGGCATTTTAGCCCTGTGTCTTGGGCATTTTAGCCCTGTGTCTTGGGGCATTTACCGCGTGTCTTGACCATGTGCTGTATTCACTGGAAGGTGTACAGAGAAGGATAGCAAAGTTAATCCCCCTAAGTTAGAAAGCTCCCTTACAAAGAGAGAGAGATTAAAAACATCTTGACTTGCTGTCGCAAGAAAGACTTAGTGAGAGTTGACATGACTAGCATGTAAGTGCTGGAACGGTACTAGGCTCTCGTAGTGCAGTTCGCTTCGTTCTCCACTTCAAGTCGGGGATCCCGGGATTGATTCCCCGAGCGGGACAGAAGTAATTGAACAATTTTCCTTTCACCTAATGCTTCTGTTTAACTGGAAGGAAATGGATGCTCTTGAGTTAAGCATTCGTGTCAGGTTGCGTCCTGGGGAGGCTGGTGGTGCGACCATGGGTTGGGCGGAGGAGGGAGGTGTTGGATACAAGCCCAAGGTATGTATATACATGGGCTTCATGTCCCCGACAACGGGAAATATTATAAAATGGGGATATAGCTAAAGTTTTAAATATATAAACAGAACAGAACACACGCAAAATACAAACTGAAGTTAAGAGTTAGGGATAGTCACCCCTCTACACACACCCTCCCAGGTCACCCCTCTACACACACCCTCCCAGGTCTCCCCTCTACACACACCCTCCCAGGTCACCCCTCTACACACACCCTCCCAGGTCACCCCTCTACACACACCCTCCCAGGTCTCCCCTCTACACACACCCTCCCAGGTCACCCCTCTACACACACCCTCCCAGTTTACCCCCCTACACACCCCCCTCCCAGGTCACCCCTCTACACACACCCTCCCAGGTCTCCCCTCTACACACACCCAGGTCACCCCTCTACACACACCCTCCCAGGTCACCCCTCTACACACACCCTCCCAGGTCACCCCTCTACACACACCCTCCCAGGTCACCCCTCTACACACACCCTCCCAGGTCTCCCCTCTACACACACCCTCCCAGGTCACCCCTCTACACACACACACCCTCCCAGGTCACCCCTCTACACACACCCTCCCAGGTCTCCCCTCTACACACACCCTCCCAGGTCACCCCTCTACACACACCCTCCCAGTTTACCCCCTACACACCCCCTCCCAGGTCACCCCTCTACACACACCCTTCCAGGTCTCTCTACACACACCCTCCCAGGTCACCCCTCTACACACACCCTCCCAGGTCACCCCTCTACACACACCCTCCCAGGTCTCCCCTCTACACACACCCAGGTCACCCCTCTACACACACCCTCCCAGGTCACCCCTCTACACACACCCTCCCAGGTCACGCCACTACACACACCCTCCCAGGTCACCCCTCTACACACACCCTCCCAGGTCACCCCTCTACACACACCCTCCCAGGTCACCACACTACACACACCCTCCCAGGTCACCCCTCTACACACCCTCCCAGGTCACCCCTCTACACACACCCTCCCAGGTCACCCCTCCACACACCCTCCCAGGTCTACCCTCTACACACACCCTCCCAGGTCACCCCTCTATACACACCCTCCCAGGTCACCCCTCTACACACACCCAGGTCACCCCTCTACACACACCCTCCCAGGTCACACCTCTACACACACTCTCCCGGGTCACCCCTCTACACACACCCTCCCAGGTCTCCCCTCTACACACACCCTCCCAGGTCACCCCTCTACACACACCCTCCCAGGTCACCCCTCTACACACACCCTCCCAGGTCTCCCCCTCTACACACACCCTCCCAGGTCTCCCCCTCTACACACACCCTCCCAGGTCACCCCTCTATACACACCCTCCCAGGTCACCCCTCTACACACACCCTCCCAGGTCACCCCTCTACACACACCCTCCCAGGTCACCCCTCTACACACACCCTCCCAGGTCACCCCTCTACACACACCCTTCCAGGTCTCCTCTGTACACACACCCTCCCAGGTCACCCCCTCTACACACACCCTCCCAGGTCTACCCTCTACACACACCCTCCCAGGTCACACCTCTACACACACCCTCCCAGGTCACCCCCTCTACACACACCCTCCCAGGTCACCCCTCTACACACACCCTCCCAGGTCACCCCTCTACACACACCCTTCCAGGTCTCCCCTGTACACACACCCTCCCAGGTCACCCCCTCTACACACACCCTCCCAGGTCACCCCTCTACACACACCCTCCCAGGTCACCCCTCTACACACACCCTCCCAGGTCACCCCTCTACACACACCCTTCCAGGTCTCCTCTGTATACACACCCTCCCAGGTCACCCCCTCTACACACACCCTCCCAGGTCTCCCCCTCTACACACACCCTCCCAGGTCTACCCTCTACACACACCCTCCCAGGTCACCCCTCTATACACACCCTCCCAGGTCACCCCTCTACACACATCCTCCCAGGTCACCCCTCTACGCACACCCTCCCAGGTCTACCCTCTACACACACCCTCCCAGGTCTACCCTCTACACACACCCTCCCAGGTCACCCCTCTACACACCCTCTCAGGTCACCCCTCTATACACACCCTCCCAGGTCACCCCTCTATACACACCCTCCCAGGTCACCCCTCTATACACACCCTCCCAGGTCACCCCTCTACACACACCCTCCCAGGTCACCCCTCTATACACACCCTCCCAGGTCACCCCTCTACACACACCCTCCCAGGTCACCCCTCTACACACACCCTCCCAGGTCTCCCCTCTACACACACCCTCCCAGGTCACCCCTCTACACACACCCTCCCAGTTTACCCCCCTACACACCCCCTCCCAGGTCACCCCTCTACACACACCCTCCCAGGTCTCCCCTCTACACACACCCAGGTCACCCCTCTACACACTCCCTCCCAGGTCTCCCCTCTACACACACCCTCCCAGGTCACCCCTCTACACACACCCTCCCAGTTTACCCCCCTACACACCCCCTCCCAGGTCACCCCTCTACACACACCCTCCCAGTTTACCCCCCTACACACCCCCTCCCAGGTCACCCCTCTACACACACCCTCCCAGGTCACCCCTCTACACACACCCTCCCAGGTCTCCCCTCTACACACACCCAGGTCACCCCTCTACACACACCCTCCCAGGTCACCCCTCTACACACACCCTCCCAGGTCACCCCTCTACACACACCCTCCCAGGTCACCCCTCTACACACACCCTCCCAGGTCACCCCTCTACACACACCCTCCCAGGTCACCCCTCTACACACACCCTCCCAGGTCACCCCTCTACACACACCCTCCCAGGTCACCCCTCTATACACACCCTCCCAGGTCACCCCTCTACACACACCCTCCCAGGTCACCCCTCCACACACCCTCCCAGGTCTACCCTCTACACACACCCTCCCAGGTCACCCCTCTATACACACCCTCCCAGGTCACCCCTCTACACACACCCAGGTCACCCCTCTACACACACCCTCCCAGGTCACACCTCTACACACACCCTCCCAGGTCTCCCCTCTACACACACCCTCCCAGGTCACCCCTCTACACACACCCTCCCAGGTCACCCCCTCTACACACACCCTCCCAGGTCTCCCCCTCTACACACACCCTCCCAGGTCTACCCTCTACACACACTTTCCCAGGTCACCCCTCTATACACACCCTCCCAGGTCACCCCTCTACACACACCCTCCCAGGTCACCCCTCTACACACACCCTCCCAGGTCACCCCTCTACACACACCCTCCCAGGTCACCCCTCTACACACACCCTTCCAGGTCTCCTCTGTACACACACCCTCCCAGGTCACCCCCTCTACACACACCCTCCCAGGTCTACCCTCTACACACACCCTCCCAGGTCACACCTCTACACACACCCTCCCAGGTCACCCCCTCTACACACACACTCCCAGGTCACCCCTCTACACACACCCTCCCAGGTCACCCCTCTACACACACTCTTCCAGGTCTCCCCTGTACACACACCCTCCCAGGTCACTCTTCCCCCCTCTAGGTCACCCCCACACACCCTCCCAGGTCACCCCTCTACACACACCCTCCCAGGTCACCCCTCTACACACACCCTCCCAGGTCACCCCTCTACACACACCCTCCCAGGTCACCCCTCTACACACACCCTTCCAGGTCTCCTCTGTATACACACCCTCCCAGGTCACCCCCTCTACACACACCCTCCCAGGTCTCCCCCTCTACACACACCCTCCCAGGTCTACCCTCTACATACACACCCTCCCAGGTCACCCCTCTATACACACCCTCCCAGGTCACCCCTCTACACACATCCTCCCAGGTCACCCCTCTACGCACACCCTCCCAGGTCTACCCTCTACACACACCCTCCCAGGTCTACCCTCTACACACACCCTCCCAGGTCACCCCTCTATACACACCCTCCCAGGTCACCCCTCTATACACACCCTCCCAGGTCACCCCTCTATACACACCCTCCCAGGTCACCCCTTTATACACACCCTCCCAGGTCACCCCTCTACACACACCCTCCCAGGTCACCCCTCTATACACACCCTCCCAGGTCACCCCTCTACACACACCCTCCCAGGTCACCCCTCTACACACACCCTCCCAGGTCACCCCTCTACACACACCCTCCCAGGTCACCCCTCTACACACACCCTCCCAGGTCACCCCTCTACACACACCCTCCCAGGTCACCCCCTCTACACACACCCTCCCAGGTCTACCCTCTACACACACCCTCCCAGGTCACCCCTCTACACACACCCTCCCAGGTCACCCCCTTTACACACACCCTCCCAGGTCACCCCTCTATACACACCCTTCCAGGTCTCCTCTCTACACACACCCTCCTAGGTCACCTCCTCTACACACACCCTCCCAGGTCTCCCCCTCTACACACACCCTCCCAGGTTACCCCTCTACACACACCCCTCCCAGGTCACCCCTCTACACACACCCTCCCAGGTCACCCCTCTACACACACCCCTCCCAGGTCACCCCTCTACATACACCCTCCCAGGTCTACCCTCTATCGTATCGTATATCTATCGTACCAATATCGCTTGAGTGCCACAAGGCTAACCAGACATGACAGGGTTAATCTCATTGAAACTTAAAATACTGAATAATTTGGAGGAAAATTCTTTTGAAATCTTTCGTCAGCAAAGATGTTATTTTATGATATTTGTTTTCTTGCATATGTACCCGGAGGGTAAATGGTCATGCCGTTGCCTGGAAGGTTGCTACAGTGTGAGCTGTCATAATGCTAATTTGTCAAAGCGTTGGTGCATTTGACTCGCAGATGAACTCTGCTCCCGGATGCCTTGGTGGATAAGCGCCTGATGAGGTGGCTGCTGTTTATGGCCTTAAGTATTCAGATTACACCGCGGACCTCACCTCCGGCGGATGGCATCGCTCAAGTGATAAATGTAATAGGTTAAGCAGTGTCGCCATCTTGGGGAGGGTTGCCTAGTGGGGCGCAATGAATAGATAACATCGTACATCCTCTGGACGACATTTCCAGAAAATGCTGAAACAGGACACAATCCATCCTTTTGTAATGATAGTACTTATTGTAACTATTTGGTAAAAAGTAACAATATGCAGTTTTTGGACCACCAACTAGATCATTTTCTCCAAGGAAAACACTTGGTCCAACAAGCCTGTTGGACCCAGCTCTCACAAGTCAAGCCTGGCCTCGGGCCGGGCTTGGGGAGTAGAAGAACTCCCAGAACCCCATCAAGTAGGTATCACCAAAAAGTTCACTTTTTGCACATATAATTTTATGGGGTCCGGAAAAATGAACCTTAATACACAAAGTTAAATATCCCTAGGTTAAATATAGCACATATATGTACTATATTAGGCCTATGATTGCTAGGAGAAGTTAGGTTAGGTTTTGCATTTATGTTGCGGTTAAAAAAAAAAAAAAGTTTCCCACTTGGCCAAATCAGTAATCCAAAACAAGGTTTTGGTGGCCCATCACTACACATTGGTACTTTCCTCCAAATACTTATTACAGGGACTCTCATTTTAGAAAGACGGGCTACTATACACAAAAAGGAGAAGCAAATTATGGCCGATGTAATACAGAACCCAAAATAGAGAGGAATCAGAGTGTGTATATTAGGGCGAGTAACAAGTGCGGTACATGTTATGAAAGCAGCGGAGTATGACACAGCCCCCAAAGACAAGGACCAGCCTGTACTACTTCATAGTCGCATAAAGGAGAAATGCAAACCACAAAGTGATCAGCCTCGCTGGACTGTGACCTGGTGATAATGTCTGCGACGCCTTGCTGGACCGTGACCTGGTTATAATGTCGGTGACGCCTCGCTGGACCGTGACCTGGTGATAATGTCGGCGACGCCTCGCTGGACCGTGACCTGGTGATAATGTCTGCGACGCCTTGCTGGACCGTGACCTGGTTATAATGTCGGTGACGCCTCGCTGGACCGTGACCTGGTGATAATGTCGGTGACGCCTCGCTGGACCGTGACCTGGTGATAATGTCGCGAGCTTCTAATCTTACCATAGTAGGTCACATCATCCTGTTTTCGCACGAGGTAAGACCGAGGCATAAACAGGATGGTAAAGTCGTAGATATAAATAGAGGAGAATGATATGATAGTAACTCCTAAGAAACAGTGAAACTGTTGATAATTATTATGTAACAATATGTCGGCAAGAAATTGTCTTGTTCTCAAACGCCGACATAATTTAAATAAATGGTTTCAGCTATAAACCAAAAAACGGCCATTTTTGCCTAATGCTCTTATAAATATTCTTTAATATTGTATTCTGCTCCACATGTTACATTAATTTTCAAAAGAAGGCACCACGCCTGGAAGACTATAAGCACCATATATGAGAGTTGCTGGATATTTATAAGGCGCTAAATAACATTTAGAACGCCAATAGGAGAACAAAAGGACACAATGTGAGCGATATCAAAGGTATCTGATTCACAAAGGATTCTAAGGAGGTATATTAGGAAAGCAAGACAGGATCTTCTGAAAATCGGGACACACTACAGGGAGGTGCACGACTGTTAGAGGGCACTTAGGACAATAAGGAACAGCAGAGCGGTGTTCCATTAAGTGCCCGTGAGTGTAGCGCATGTGGCCAATACGTAAACATGTCTAGGACAGTTTCCCACTGTTTATTACGGTGGTAGGAGGAAGGCCAAGAGGATAGGTTACCTTTAATAGTGCACAATTTGTTACCTGTAACGCCAGAGCAGTGACCATGCCAAATAGTTGAAGAATGACTGACTGGATAGAAATCTAAATAAGAAATGCCTTTCTGGGAAATAGGACAGGCATGGATGGCATCCTTAGCGGCAGTGTCCGCTCGTTCATTTAATTAAGGTAATACAAATGGCTGGGAACACAGCAAACTCAACTGTCTTAAATCTGCTGGAGGTAAGAAACGGCCAATATTGGATTTTGACCACTACAGGATGCACAGGTTTAAATGACACCAGAGCCATGAAGGCACTGTGAAAGTAAACTAAAATGACAAAGGAACATTGACGTCGGGAAAGCAGATGACGAAGAGCATAAAAAAATTCTATGAAGTTCAGCCGTGAGGCTGTTAGTCTCAGCCTCACGGCACGGGTGTAGGCGGTACATATAGGTGTGGTCAGTAAAGAATGAACTCTCGACCGAAGATCACATTCACTCCAAAAAATCTACTACTTACGGGCTATTCATGCCCGTGCCACCTCTTGGGTGGCTTAATCTTCAATCAATCAAAGAATAGAGTAACCAACTGGCAACACCATCGGAAAACGTAGACCCATCACTGACTAGTGCAATCGCGTGGAAGTGTGAAGAAATGTGTGCAAGGAAAAGGCGTCTCAGAATAGTATGAGGGGGGATAAGGCTTCACCATTTGGGTAAAGGTCTTGCTAAAGTTTGCAAATAGGACCGGACCCTCCATGGGGAAGGGGGCCAACGACACGAGGAGAGAGAGAGAGAGAGAACGCAAACATGAACTGAGAGGGACTCTTGCAAGTGTGACATCCTTATAGAAAAAGGAAGAAGGTGAAAGAGTAGAGGTTCCACCAGAGGGGTGACAGTCAAACAACAGCATTAGCGAGTCAGGAAGTTGCAGGCAGTGCGAGGTAGCGAAGGCAGTAACAATCATGTAAAGACACTATATACCCCCTACTCGATCTCATCATAGCGTTGTAACATATAGGACTGTGTGACAATATTCATATAATATATTGGTTTTTATGTTAATATAATTTGGTTATAGCAGTTGGATGTTTTACGACGTTGTCGTGATGGGTTGAGGACGTTTGTTACGGGGTGCTGCCGGAGTCAGGGAGAGCGTGGTGCTGGCAGGGCGTGGTGCTGAAGGTGACTGCAGCAGAGAGCACACAACCTAAACGAGGACGGAGATGGAGAGCCCAAAGGAGGGCGGGAGTTGAGAGCTCGGGCGAGGGCGGGAGTGAAGAGCTCTGTGGTCGTGAAACGACGATTGATGATGCCACGCTGTCTTCGGCAGTCTTATGTGTCCACCCAAACTTGTGTTGGACCCAGTTTACTTCCTTATTTAGCAAGCTGAGCATCATTTGGTCTGAGGGAAGCTTGCTGGTTACTTTCGACTGCCCTAAATGATTCGTGGAAACATTGGGGATTTGTTACGGATACCTTTATTGGTTAATGAATGTGGTTGCACGTGTCATTACCGATTATGGGGATTAATGGGCACTTTTAAATGCTTGAGTGGCTGCCACATAACTTCTAATGGGGTTGCTTCAGCATCATCCACAGGTCTACTGAAAGACTATATATATATTACTTGTCATGAATAACTGTCGCTTTATCCTTAATGCAGTAAAACGTATGTTGCATTACATGTAAGGAAAGTAAAGCTATATATATATCATACAGAGTACAGTTCCTTCTTCTTAACGCACTCTTCAACCAACATTTTCATCATGCATCCCAAACTGTTCCTCAGGAAGCCGTCAGAATGTTGCGACGACCGCCTGGACGACTGCTCCGTGCCCATCATGGGCTCCCTCTGCTACTGCGACGAGTTCTGTCTCACTAGAGACTCTGACGACCGCCAGGAAGATGAAGTCCTCGAGGATGACTGCTGTCCAGACTTCAGAGAAGTGTGTCTTGGGGAGCGGCCAATCAATGACGGTCCGGACCAGCTCGACCTTGGAGGTGAATATGTCTTTAAGTTGTGTACTGCTGATGCCCGTGTCCTAGCACAGGTGCCCGTGTTATAATTAATAATTTAATTTATAATTGAAATTCATAATTGTAATTCAGAATTTAAGTTTGATAGTACTGGTGCACGTGTTATAACACTGGTGCCCATGTGATAGTACTGGAGCTCAAAAGTTTTGGAGCTGGAGTTTTGTTCAACAAAATCCTTAATGTTTCAGACTGTGAGAAGGATGGAGTGAAAATTGCACGAGGGGCTACTTACCAGGAAAACTGTAACAAATGGTAAGTTAATTAACTGTTGTCTGCATACAGGTTTTGTATGCAAGCAACTTGCCATCAACTAGGAGAGTTGATGGCACGTTTGGATAGTAGAAGAACATAGCAGCACAGGTCAAATACTTTATTAGATGTCATAGTTGACCGATAATCAAAAGCAGAATGTTACAGAGTTCTGCCCTTGGGCATTTCATTGTTGTCCTTGGGCCTCTATAGAGCTGTCCTAGGGCCTCGTCAGTGTTGTCCTTGGGCCTCTTTAGGGCTCTGCCCCAAGACCTCTTTAGGGTTGTCCTACGGCCTGTATATAGTTCTGTTTTGGGGGCCTCTTCAGTTTGGCAACTGAGGTGTAGAAGAGTGTTAAAAACTGACAAGCAGCCTATTAATATAAGTATAAGAAGTGGGAGACACGTGAATCAGTGGGTGTTATTAGGTGTACAGTGAATTTGTTTCACAATAGCCTACTGGCTATTGTGAAACAAAAGATACTGGAAGTCCCTTGTCTGAATAGCTGGTTACCATTTCCAAAAATGTGACAGGTTTGTAAGGCAGGATCTGATTTTAATGAGCCCGTGTTGCGTTGATTTTACTAGGTTGTTCAGTGTGAGATGGTGAATGATTCCCTCCCTTTGGATTGTCTCCATGAGCTTGCAGATGTGTGAGATCAAGCAGATCTGATGGTAGTTCTCTGCTGAGCTCTTTCTGCCCTTTTTGAAAATAAGGGTGACATTTGCATATTTCCAATCTAGGGGAACTATCCCCTGGTCCAGATATTTTCTGAAAAGGAGTTTCATTGGTAGGCATAGTTCATCTGCCAGTTCCTTTATGAGTTTGGATTAAAAAAATATCTAGAATGCTGTTACCTCACGTGGGCTCTGCCACATGCTGTATGAGAAATGAGTCCTGTACCAGGTCAGGAAATTGTTCTCCTCCTGCTTTTGATGTTAGATTTACCCAATCTTTTGTTTTGCCTTGTTGGCAAAGTCCTCTATTATATGGGTTTGTGTTTCTGATGCTACATTGATCACATTATGCAGATTAACAACTTCCTCTGCTGTTGCTGTGTAACCTCCTGATCTTTAGCTTTGCATATTTGTCTTGGTCTGTGTTTCTTAACTCCTTTAGTTTGTCTCTTAGTACTTTTATCATATTTTTCTGCTGTTCTACTGTAAGGTCTGGAGAGATGCAAACTTGGTTATACCCTCTTATATCTTTTAGTGTTATGTGCACTGTTGAGTATCCTCTTCCTGTGTTCAATATTTGCAATGGTTATGTGTACCAGATTTGCATCAGGCTTACCTAAACTTCCTACATAAGCAATACTTAGATCTTCATCCTTGTCTATCACTTTCTCTGCCATTGCCTCTGTTTTCCTGGTCATTCTTGTCCTCTTCTTTTGCATGTTTTTTTATAGAGGTCATTTTTTCATCTTTGTTTATCCATGGCTCCTGAAGCTCTCTTGAGCATCTAAATTTCTATCCTGAGCTCTGCCAGCATCCACTGTGTTCCCTTCAAGTGTGTGATTACTCTCCAGCTTCTCCTGGTTGACCACAGGAGACATGCCTATATGATTTCTATTTATTAACTGTTTAAAAATCCATAAATTGTTTCATCAATACTTTCTGGCCCTCCTGAAGCTCTCATGACCCTCCTGCAGTTCTTTTATTATTTTCTTGTCAATTATTTTGTCTTTATTATCATAGATTTTTATCTCTTTTTCTATTTTCTCTCTCGATAATAGCACCTGTGAGAGAGGAGAAGTATCATGTGAGCAGGACGAGTGTATGGTAGAGAAGAAAGTGATAGCCAAAGTGAACCAAGGTCTTCGTCAGTATGGGTGGATAGCTGGCAACTACTCCAAGTTTTGGGGCAGGAAGACCAGGGAGGGTCTGACTCTCAGAACTGGCACTTTCAACCCTGAAAGCCAAGTAAGTTATATGCCCCCTCTCCACACACACTCACTTAGATACACATACATACTACCTCTTAACAGTATCCCACTACCTCTACTCTCCATGTCAATGTACATTTTTGAGTTGCATAGCCATTATTAATAGCTAGCCTCCCACTAGCATCAACATACTGCTAACTGCTATAGTACCCCATTTTAGGTAGCATAACCTGTAATTCTTACATCCATTCTCCATTCAACAGTCAATGCAGATGTACCCAATCACCTTACATCCTGAAGTTTCCCGCATTCCAAAGCACTTCGACCCACGCAACGAACCTAAGTGGCAGGGTCGTTTGAGTGACGTGAGGGACCAGGGGTGGTGTGGCTCCTCCTGGGCCTTCTCTACTCTGGCAGTCACTCAGGACAGGTGAGTGACAGGGCTGTGTGAAGGACCAGGAGTCAATGTGGCTTCTCTTTGGCCATCTTCACTCTGGTCATCACTCATGAACGTTATAAAGAAGTAAATGGTAATGGGATGACATTCGACACACTCTCAAGAGATGGAGCCACAAGGCGATATATGCTGGAAACTGTCCTTAAGATGACATACCTTGACCTATACTTAGTACATACTTGGGGCGGGTGACTGGTTGTAAAATACTGAAACAGTTTGGATCACTGAAGCAGCCTGACCTGCTACTACTACCAATTTTTATTTTTGTATTATTATTTTCTACCATAGACATGGCCACACATTTACAATATTAAACAGCTTATATACCTTTTCTTCTGTCCTCCATGGACAGAGTAAGGGATCTGTTAAACATATAGTTCGGTGATTTATTGTGATTTACAGTGTTCGTGGTATGTTTTTACATAATATCATTAATGTGTATTTACAAAGGTGAAATGCAATTCTGACCAGCTTGCACATATCCTGATTATGACATTCTGCAATATAATGTTCAAGGAAAAACAATATAATGTTTTCTCTCCTTCACAACGTTGACACATGGTGTATGTGTCAACATTTGAGTTTAGAGAAAGCTGGCAGATACGTCTATGACGGTTGGACGTTTACCGTGGGGGGTCTGTTTGTACCAGAGTACACTATACACTTAGGAAATGTGTTCATGTATGGCATGCTGTACTTTGTGAAAGACACGAGGGATGGCTAATGGCCTAAAGTAAAAGCTTTTTGTCATAAGTGACATGAAGGTACTTAAACAGTACAGTCCAACGAGTTCCATTATAATAATAAGTACACAAACGTGTTTTGTTCAACCAAGTTATAACTACTTGCTCATTAATATTTTGTAATAATTGATCATAATGCAAAAATCATTACATTTACAGTACCGTATTTGGATATTATAGCATGTTACACATTTAAAAAGCTGCTTTAATTTGCAGTCAATAAAATAATCTTTTAATATTACTTGTACACATTGAACTCCATTAAAGCAAGTACTGTACAATATTCCTACAGAACTAAATATGATCTGTCATGTCACAGGATCTCCATCATCGCCAAGGGGATGAAGTCTATCCAACTCTCTCCTCAGAACCTACTGAGCTGTGCCAAGTTGGGCCAGCAAGCTTGTGAGGGAGGCTACATCGATCGGGCCTGGAACTACCTCAGACGAACTGGGTATGTCTTGCTAAACAGATATAAGTTCCTGTATACAGACATAAATCACAATAGTGTGATGCATCAAATGAACAAATCCACAAGGGTCGATTAAGGCAGCGTCTGGGATCCTCTCGGACGTAGGTTCGAACCCTCGTCACGGCCCTTGTGAATTTGTCCTGTATACAGTATTTATTTATAAATATTCTTTAACCCCTTCTTCCTGTTACTGTCTGACATTCTATACCCGGATGTTTCCTTCTGTTGTCTACACCAGCAAAGGCCTCAGTGTCGCCTCTCAGTAAGTGTACGTACATACATACATACATACATACATACATACATACATACATGTGTGTATATCACGAAAATAAACACGTGATTAAAAATGTGACAGTGTTTTTCCTCCGTGGTCTGACACTGTACACATACATACATACATACATACATACATACATACATACATACATACATTCAAATTGTTTGTCATTTATTCAGCTATTCTGATTTATAACAAAACAAATTATTATAACTTTAAATAATGAAAGTGAAGGAAAGACGTAATTTATGTTTTAAGTGCATTAAAGACAAATTTTTGGATGTAACCTATATCCTTTCTCAGGGTACTTTATATAATGTTCTGCAGAACATATATAATGTAGAATACTTGTACATATATATTTTCTGCATTATAAATAATATAATATACTGCATATATAATGCAGATCATAATATACAGTACCTTGAGAAAAAATGTAGGTTACATCCAATAATTAGTTTTTTAATACACTTAAAACATAAATTGGATCTTTCCTTCACCTTTATTATTATTTTTATTGCATTATTCATAATGAACTATGGCATTGTAGTACGTTTCTCCATTGTAAGTAATGAGACTAGCAGTGTGTCTTTGTAAACTGTTAGTGAGAGCAAATAATCATGGGAAAATATCCTACTTTAACTTTGTAATTTCTTGATAATAAAATCTGACAAGTATAGAAATATGAAGGGTATAATATATATATATGGCTTTGTTATCATTGCAGAGTGGTGCTTGAGGAGTGCTACAGGTATGAGAGTGGAACATCAGGGAAGGTACCAAGGTGTCTGATCCAGAGACATGATTTCTCCAAGCTGCAGTGTGAGGTGAGATGAAATGGATGACAGAGTAAGATAAGATAAGATGTTGATCAGACCACACACTAGAAGGTGAAGGGACGACGACGTTTCGGTCCGTCCTGAACCATTCACAATCGACTTGAGAATGGTCCAGGACGGACCGAAACGTCGTCGTCTCTTCACCTTCTAGTGTGTGGTCTGATCAACTTACTTTAGCCACGTTATTGTATCTCATCGCCTGCAAGATAAGATGTTTATTCAGGAAAAGGAACATACATTGAAAACGAGTTACAAACATAATGTTGGATTAACAGATAGAGCTAGTACATACAATGCCTGAAGCCACTAATACGCACATTTCGCACAAAGTGTGGGGAAAAAACTTGGACTAAAACTTACTCTCTTTTGATCTCAATTAGTATTAATAGGTCAGGATACCTGCTATGTCCCAATAAAATGTTGTAGGTCTTTTCTATGTTTAGTGTGAGTTTGAATATTATATAATTGTTGTGACTGTGTGTGTGTTGCCTCACAGCACAAGTATCAGTACAAGACGGAGCCTGCCTACCGCATCTCCAACAAGGAAGAAGACATCCAGTGGGAGATAATGAATAATGGACCTGTCCAAGGTTAGTGGTCTATGGCTGTGGAGTGGTGTGAAGGTACAGGCTTGCTTGGAGGGCAGAGTGGGCTAAAAAGGAGGATGAGATGATGGGGCGACAGTGAGGGTGATGCTGGTGGTGATGAGGTGGCGGTGAGGATGATGTTGGTGGTGATGGGGCGACAGTGAGGATGATGATGGTGGTGATGGGGCAGTAGTGAGAATGGTGCTGGTGGTGATTGGGCGACAGTGAGAATGGTGCTGATGGTGATTGGGCGACAATGAGAATGGTGCTGGTGGTGATTGGGCGACAGTGAGGATGGTGCTGGGTGTGTGTAAAAACTTAACAGTAAGGGATAGTGCACCTGCTTAAGACAGATCAATGACTACAATAATTTCTGTTGCTGAATAACTGAACTGAATGAAAATTTTCCTAATGCTAATTAATAATCACTTAATTAATTTTGTTATATTAATGGAACTGTATATTTCATGATTGTATTACAGACTTAGGCACAGGCAAACATATGTATAAACTTTCACATATCTGAGTAAAGTTTTACATTTGTACCATACAAGTTACTCAAGACCTTAGATCTAACTTTTGATATTTAGAGATGCAAACGTTCACATATTTCTTACTAGTAAGAAGTACTAGTTTATAGTTTGTATTCTTAAATCAAGATCAAGGAGCTGAAGGTCCCATTTATTCCATGTTGAGGAAAGGTGTTCTGCTCATGTACTCAGAATATATGATACAAGCACACATCAATGTATACTTCCTAAAAATTGGGGGGGTAATAATGATCTTGTACTTGGACAGCCATTATGGAAGTGCACAAGGACCTGTTCGTATACAAAGGTGGAGTGTACTCGTACTCCGGACTGACAGGAAAGGAGACGGCAATTCACTCGGTCAGGATCATTGGGTGGGGAGAAGCTCCCCTCCTGGGGATGGAACCTGTCAAGTACTGGGTAAGACTATACTCGGTATTGGTATGAATTACTATTTACCCGTCAGGTAAAGCACAGCTGAGACAGGTAAGATAGTTGCCACTGGGCCGCTCCAAGCAACAGCCTGGTGGACCAAACTCTCACAAGTCAAGCCTGGCCTCGGGCCGGGCTTAGGGAGTAGAAGAATTCCCAGAACCCCATCAACCAGGTATCATTAACATTGGCTCATTATCTTGCACCCCTTGAATTTGAGAATGAGGTACTTCGGTAAATGAGGTAAGTTAGTAATTCTGGTGTACAGAGGGGGGGGGGGTATATTTCCCAGTGTTTGTACACAGTTTAATTTAATTATGAGCACTGTGCATTGTTACCCCCTTACCAAGCCCCTTTTGTTACCTCACAAACTAAATGCTTTTGTTACCTCACAAACTTAATGCTTGGAACATTTAATTTGTTAAATATCTAGGACAATTGGTTGTAAACAACCTAAAAATTAGCTTGGCACAGTGTACCAAGTGTAAAAATTGATTAGGTACAGTGTCTGGAAGCTGCCCACACAGCTTCCTCACTCTTAGTGCAGTGGGTCTACCTGGAAGCCGCTGTCCCCATAATGTTTTTACTCTTGGTCCAATATGTATATGCAGCTAGTTGTGTTCGCGGGGGATGAGCTCTGCTCCTTCGGCCCGCTTCTCAACTGTCAATCAACTGTTACTGCTTTTTTTCCCACACACACACACACACACACACACACACACACACACACACACACACACACACACACACACACACACACACACAGGAAGCAGCTCCGTAGCTGTCTAACTCCCAGGTACCTATTTACTGCTAGGTAACAGGAGCATCAGGGTGAAAGAAACTTTGCCCATTTGTTTCTGCCTGGGCCGGGAATCGAACCCGGGCCACAGGATTACGAGTCCTGCGCGCTGTCCACTCAGCTACCAGACCCCTAGGTCTGTGTTTGGAGGCAGCTGCCTACATAGCGCCCTCACTCTTGTAAAAGTATCTGCTTGGAAGCAGCTGTCCCACACAGCATTCTCACTGTTGTGTGTCCGCCTGGAGCAGCTAATCACATGTCATCCTCACTCTTCTTGTCATGTGTCTGCCTGGAAGCATGCCGCTGTCTATACAGCTTTCTCACTTTGACCAACTTAGGGTTCATGCTCCACTTGGGTCCCACCTGCATTACACTTCAACTAAAAAAAGTACTGTAATTCTATTCACACAATAACAAACTACTAACTGGTTTCTCTTCCATTTACTTGTCTACTATTAGCAGGCAGTTGATATGTCCTTTTCTTCTTTTGCTGTCATTTCTGGTCATCTTGCATAGCCTACCACCTGTCAATCACCTATTGTTCTTCATTATTGACCCAGCACTTGTAAGTCATCGATCACTTAACTCTCAACTCCATGTCTGGAATGGTGAAGAATTGTGTCTAGGTTAAAAGTGAGGTACCACCGGCCTGGGTCAAGAAGTGTACCCACATATGCTTATCATGGTGGTTGCATGTCAAGTGCCCCAGTTATTTTCTGTACCCTTGTAATCACCAGCTGGTCAAATAATTTACCCATCTCCCTCAGCAGCCTAATAGTTTTGTAAATATTAACTTGCAATATTAACAACTGCCCGTTTTTCCCCAGTCATCTGCCAACAGCGTTCAATTGACCAAGTTTTATGGCTAATTATTCACCAACATTATTTATATTACCATTGTATTTAACTATTTAATCACATCCCATAAACTACAACATTTAAAATAAGAGTAAAATAATGTTCCATCCCGCAGCTTGTTGCCAACTCGTGGGGTTCAGACTGGGGCGAGAAAGGCTTTTTCAGGATCAGACGAGGAACCAATGAATCCGGGATTGAATCCTTCATCGTTGCAGTTAGAGCCCGTCTTGCCAACCATGTGTATGGTGCAGCCTAAGAAATGCCATGATGGTTGTAAATAAACTAGATACCTCTCATGGTACTGTAGTACTATGGGTGAGCCATGACCAAACTAGGTGCTCATGGTTCTGATTTTAGTAATTGTTAAGCAACAGCCCCATCCAAGAAAGTAAAGGTATAATATATGTGATCCCTCATACATTGGCCAAATCTTTGTGCAGAAGCTAGGGAGCATAACTATATTAGAACAGGATCTAAGGTCCTTATTCATTAATCTGGTAGACAGTCATGTTATTTACTGGCCTAATTACCTCCAAAATATATTTGGCATTTTGTCAGATAGAAAGGGGTTAATTGTGGAATCATGCTTATTCAAATATAGTGACTGTATATATATATAAAGCAGATGGTTTTATATACTGCAATACTTGAGCAAAGACAAATAAAAACAGATCTTAAACTAGTTTAGTCATTTACTTATGTTTCCAACCAACTTATGCCACTATTTGACCACTATTAATCCAATCTGTATATAATTTCTTGTTGCCAAACTCCATTATCTACCTTTGAGAATGAGTTGGAATATCTTGTTTGTTTGCCTTTGAGTTTATAAGGCTATATACATATATCTGTGTGAGTAAAGCATTCTCACACATCCGCAGCCTCCCAGCACACCCCTTCCTTCCTATCTATCCCCCACATTCCTTTTTCCTGTTATGAGACTGAATTTAAAGTATAAAATAGTAGTACGGTGTCCATATGTCAAAAAATAACATCAACAAAATAGAAAAGGTGCAAAGACATGCTACCAAAGGCTTCCATACCTATAAAATCGATGCTATTGCAACACTGAATGAACGTTGAATCTATGGCATTTAAACGTTAAATTGACGCTTTTTCAAACAAAACACCACAGCACTAGTTAAAAAAAATTGTAAATCTATGAATAATTCCATTAATACTTCAGATGGTTCAAATATTTTCAAACTGTAAATGGTAAGGAAAGTCGAAGGTGATTGCACGATTTGAAGTTGAAAATATACTAATTTTATAGGAAATATAATAAAAACCACGGCAGTTTCCTTAATAAAATTTACCCAAACCCTCACTTAATTCCAATAATGTTACAGATAGTTAATATATTTTCATAGTGTGTTATTGGTAAGGAAAATTGAAAGGGATTGCACATAATTGAAGTTTGAAATAAAGCAAACAGTTCTTATTCCTAAGCTTACCTCTAATAGCTACTTGTGCCTTGCTAAAAATATAAATGAAATATAAGTAATAAATAACAGATTAAAAGACACTTTCAAACCATTCTCTTTACAAAGAGATATTAAAAAGTGAATAGGTATCTCTACTACCAATGGTCTGGCAGTAGAGGTAGCTCGCTGATATAAATATGGCCCAGGATTCAACAAGCATTTATTCATCTACTGTACTTACAGACCTGTACATGTTCTTTCAGTCTTTGGCAGCTTTGCTTACATTTATTAAACAGTTTACGAGCATCGAAACTTCTCAATCAAATGTTATTATGTACTGTTATAAACAGCCTCTTGGTGCCCCGGAGCTAGTAAACTGTTTAATAAATGTAAACAAAGCAGCAAAAGTTTGAGAAAAGATGTAGAGGTTCGTGAGCAGGTACTTAAATACTTGTTGAATCCATGCCTTACCTTAGATTTCATTGTTATTGCTTACACTTTAAAATGGAGAGTCAGGACACAAGTTACCAGAACACTGATCGCCAGGGCATGGAGTTAGCACTAGCATTAAGCTAAAGGCATGAACCGGGCGCTATTGTTGAGCCAAGACTCGTGCCACTAAGGCAGGGTCAGCATGGTACGGGATGGTGACCTTGAGTCGTAGGTCCTTGGACATAGAACGGATGATGGTTGCTTCAGCATTCTCATTACCACTCCATGCTCTGTAGGAATATTGAATTCACATTTATTTATATAAAGAGCATTTAAAATACTGCTACAAGTTTGATTAATACATTTGCAACAATTGTAAGCTTTATAGAACCCTTAATCATGATCAGCATTTCTGACAAGTATTTATCAAAAGAAGACACCGCCTGCATCACAGGATATTCAAAAGGTGCTAAACACGCCCAGGATGTCACTACAAAAGGACATAAAGAGAGCAATATAAAATGTTTTGGATATTGGTTTATAATTAATTATAAAGCAACCATTCTATCTAGGGACCAGCAACCCAGAGGGACATTAGGAAAGAAGGACGTACGATCATCCTGAAAATTGTACATCCTATTCCCGGTGTGACAATGCAGTTTGGACAATAAGAAGCACGACAGTGCTCCATTAAGTGACCACAAGTTGAGTGCGTGGGGCCAATATGCAACCTAACCCAAACCGTTTCCACCATCTATTACAATAGTATGAGGAAGGCCAAGAAGATAGGTCACCTTTAAGAGTGCACAGTTTGTTACCTGTAATACCAGACCAACAACCCTGCAAATAGTCACAGGTTGCCGAATGAACGTCTGGGTAAGCCCGAACTGGAGTCTCAGTAATGTGCGACAGAGCAGCTAGCAATTCAGCTGCCTGCTCAGAAGGGGCCTCGATGATACACGTGTCATTTCAGGGTGGGGTTTAAGGTAACGTATATCCACAGTTAACGAAGTGCTGATACATGTGTAAATCATTAGGGAGGGTGAGGTCATCATGACAGACATCAACCATTTGGGCAACGCAGCGGGACCAAATGGATCATGGTATGTACAAACACAAACATTATGACACAAATCATGTTCGTCCAATTGTAAGGATGGTGTCATGCTCCCCCATTAAGGAGAGGGCTAAAGGGTACCATTGTAACAACCAATGATAGAGCCACTCCAGGTAACTTGGGAGTCGTCTCTCAAGAAAGTGGTAGAGGAATGAAGAGGATCAGTAGGGAGAACCAAACATTAAGCTGGGTCTAGTCCCATCTTAGCTGGGGCTACGGAATCTGATCTTCCAGCAGAATTTTGATTCGGGGGCCTGGTCGCCCACCCCCACGAACTAAAACTTGGAAAGTGAATTTGTTTACCGTATGCATCCTGTTTTTTTTCAAGTTTGGGCCCTGGATCTAAGGCCTGCCATGCACCTACCATGAACGCCAAATGCTGGCTGGTGCAAGAAAGGGTGCATCGTCCTAAGCGGTGCTCCCTTTTTCAACAGGAGTCCTAATGCATTGTACATTCTCCAGCATCGGAACAGACCACTTTCTTACTCTTGGCCCACCCCGACACCCAAACCTATCTCAAAAAGTGGTCCCTATGGGCGATCCCTCCAGCGGGGTGTTCGATGACCCGAACGAGAACCCTATGTTGGGTTCCTTCGTGTGTATAATATGGGTAGAGGGGAGCCGAGGCAATGCCCAACGGCCCCAGGGAATCATACCCGAGTACCTTCATCATCAAGTGCCAGTAGGACAAATATTGCAAGTAGATGCAATAGTCATATTCCGGGGGATATTAGGATTATAAGGACTTGCCCGAAACGCTATGCGTGCTAGTGGCTGTACAAGAATATAAGAACTCTTAAATAAATAACAAAATAAATAAAAAAGACAAAACTCTTGAGGGGGCATTTCTGTAAAGTATCACTGTCAAGATAAGAATAATTAAGTTATTACTTAAGCTTAGAATAGTTTGCCATACACGAGTATTCCCATACAGTATGCAATCTGTAACAAATTTCAAGCTAATACTTAAACCTAGTGAAAGGACATGAACACGTGACAGAATCAACTCCAACTATAACATACAACTACTTCCATCCTCTATAATATTTTGGGAGAGGGGAGAGGGGGAGTCCATGCTGCTTTTTGTAAGATTGTGAGATACACATGCACAATGAAATCTCATAAATGTGATGTATCATTGATACATCACATTAATGAGATGAGATTAATGTATCAATGATACATCACATTTCTCCTTCTTACATCATAAAATGAAATACAGTATTTTCCTTATTTATTTACCTTCGGGCAACGCCGTTGGAGACATCCCAGTTTAGGGTGAGTGTGGCATTGTAGTGAGCGATATCGGAGCCGTCCAGTACGAGTCCAAACCCTCCGTTGATCACCTCACCCCTAGGGACAGAGCTTCTCCATTAATTATGCTTACTTTAACAGAGGCTAATAATGTTCTCTGCACTAGACGAGCAATTACTTCAGCTTTCCTTAAACTCCCAGTATCAAGTTCCAGCAGGAAAAAATATTGCAATAGTATTGACAACCGAGAAAATTTATCAGGGATTAAACAACTAGAAGATAGTGGTCTTGATGTGCACTGAGAGGGAGTTTGTCAATAAGTATTTTCCAGATTATAGTGGAATATATAGGAACACAATGGTAAATATAATGCTCTAAAAGAATGTTGTATAAATAACAGGAGCATTATAAATAAAATTGATGATTTAAGAGCATTTAAGCCCACAGAAATAGTAGATACTGAAGTTATAGAAATATGAGTGAATATTTTCTCCAGGAAAGTACCGTAAAAGCAGAATTTCAAATTAAATGATATAAATTATTTCAGGCTGACAATTTGACAACAAGAAGCGTAGTAAGTTTTGTCAAAATGTAGAGGAGAAATATATAACAACAATCTGAATTAAACTAAATGGAAGTAATGAAAGCCTAATTTTTGGAGCTATTTATGACTTAAAACTTTACCAGAAATTTCTAGGAATTTAGGTAAAATAATGTCCAAAATATAGGCAGTACCAAACTCAGGATAGCGCCAAACGCAGAACTGAAAGAAAAAACAGCATTACAAATAATAAAATACGTCTTTCTGGTAGAGTCCCGGTAGCTCCTTGTTTAAAATACCGAGAACTCGAGTCAGCAGAACCCAGTCGAATGAACAAATCCACAAGGGCCCTGACGAGGATTCGAACCTGCGTCCAAGAGCATCCCAGACGCTGCGTTAATCAGAACCCAGTCCCCGTCTCGAGAGATGTAGAGAGTTGGTGAGACTATCTACACTAACCAACACTTACTCACCAAGCTACTCAACGTTGGCATCCCCCCTACACAGCACTCACCAGCCCACGCCGCCCCCGTTGTGGAGAGCTACCCAGGTGGCGCCACGGAAGGCATCACCGACGAAGTTCTGAATGGCCATATCTGTGAAGGGAGACGGTGAGTGTTAGCCTGTCCTTCATCAATGAGGTCACTCCTCATAACGGCTACTTTACCCCTTTCTCATCAATGAGGTCACTCCTCATAACGGCTACTTTACCCCTTTCTCATCAATGAGGTCACTCCTCATAACGGCTACTTTACCCCTTTCTCATCAATGAGGTCACTCCTCATAACGGCTACTTTACCCCTTCCTCATCAATGAGGTCACTCCTCATAACGGCTACTTTACCCCTTTCTCATCAATGAGGTCACTCCTCATAACAGCTACTTTACCACAATCAACAGAACATCCAAAATGAACAATACTGCCGTGACTCCTCCCTACCCTGAACCGTGATCACTCGCTCCACCCACTACTATATGGTCAATATGCTCATAATAACACGCTCCAGCACATACTAATTAACAATGGTCACTAGCACCATCATCCCTATGATGCAAGAAGGCACGGTAAGCAACAAGGTAGTAGTAACCACTACTGTGATGCAAGGAGGTACGGTAAGCAACAAGGTAGTAGTAACCACTACTGTGATGCAAGGAGGCACGGTAAGCAACAAGGTAGTAGTAACCACTACTGTGATGCAAGGAGGTACGGTAAGCAACAAGGTAGTAGTAACCACTACTGTGATGCAAGGAGGCACGGTAAGCAACAAGGTAGTAGTAACCACTACTGTGATGCAAGGAGGCACAGTAAGCAACATGGTAGTAGTAACCACTACTGTGATGCAAGGAGGCACAGTAAGCAACATGGTAGTAGTAACCACTACTGTGATGCAAGGAGGCACAGTAAGCAACATGGTAGTAGTAACAACTACTGTGATGCAAGGAGGCACAGTAAGCAACATGGTAGTAGTAACCACTACTGTGATCCCGGGTAGCTGAAAAACGAGTCTATCTTGTGAGTTATTCTGCAAGACCTGACCTAAATAAGAGGTCAAGGAAATATAGACATGAAGATACATACGTAAAATAATTGGTTAGATTTGATAAATAGTTTAAGAGTATGGGCAGTGATCAAGAATATAAGTAAATGACTTGACACGAGATGTGGAGAGTTTGCTGGGAGTGTAAAGCTCGCTTCTGGAGGGCTTTGACCCCCCCACTTGAGCACCAGACATCGTGAGGGGAAGCTGCGCTCCGTGTGAGCTCCTGTTAGAGAGGAACCTTCTAGTTGATATACCTTCAAGAGGAAGGAAGTGTGCAGACGTTTCAGCTGTGGAATCACGCTGGGAACATGTGGTCTCAAGTCCTGGGCGGCCAGGAAAGTTGTGAAGCCGCCCAGAGACATTTTCGTGGGCCGTGGGAGCGCCCTAGTCAGGCTCCATGAGAGGGAGAGCATCCTGCAGGAGACCTTATTATGGTTAGCCCAAATTTAACTAGTTAATAGTGATTGCCTATAGTTGATCGTGTGCCCAGCTATCGTAGCAAGTGTCTGTTGATATGTTAGGCATGTTTTGATAAGGCAGAAGTCCTAAATAAGTTCTAAGTGAGTAAAGATGGAGGAACGTTCTGGAGGGCAGAGCGACATCCATTCCCTCCGACGGCTTGTGGGTGACTGAGGGAGCCTGGCGCCTGGGGGCAGGCAGAGGCTCAGCGGGAGGCGGAGCATGGACCTGCCCAAACGGGGGAGTCCACACTCACGACATTCGGGAAGCAGGAAGAAGTCAAGTGAAACATTTATTGTGTGATTCATTTCAGTTATGTGTTTGTAGAGGAACATTTTTATTGGCGTGTCGATGGGTTGCAGGTTTGTCTGGGGAAGGAGTTGCTGAGCACTTCAAAGCCAGCAGAGAGGGAGTACTTGATGAGACTCCAAGGTTGTGGGAGGTACTGAGCTCTGTGGAAGAGCAGCCATACAGTGGGTGGAAAAAACATATCCTGTTCTAAGTCTTACATTGTGGCTTGTTGAGCTTGAAACCGTTGCTCCTTATTTGTGTTACATCTGACTTTTGAAGAAAATGTCCGGATCAACATCCTCTAACTTGTTCAGTATTTTAAAAGTTTCAATGAGATCCACCATATCATGTCTGGTTTGCAATGTTGTTAGCCCTGTGGCCTTCAAACGTTCCTGATACGAGGGATAACTTAACTCTGGAACGACTTTTGTTGCCCGGTGTTGCACCTTCTCCAGAGCAGCTATGTCCTAAAAATGAGGTCTCCATGCTTGGATACAGTAATCCAAATGGAGGGTACACATAGTATATATATTACTATATTAGATCCTACTAGAATAAAGTGAAATATTCTTATAAGCAAAATAATATGTAACCGAGTTCCATCTGGCATTTGTCACCATCACTAGTGGTGAATAGACTCGCCTTGTTCTTCGTGTGGTGTGACCTGTGAGGATACCTGGCCAGGGGACGACGCACCTCGTACACTGACAGTAACACCTGGCCAAGTCTCTTCCGACCTGAGCAGTGAAGTGCCAGAAACACTTGCCTTTGTTGCAGGTGTTGTGGGTGCACCATTACAAGGGGTAGTGAACCTACCTACAGTAGTACAAGGGGTAGTGAACCTACCTACAGTAGTACAAGGGGTAGTGAACCTACCTACAGTAGTACAAGGGGTAGTGAACCTACCTACAGTAGTACAAGGGGTAGTGAACCTACCTACATTACAAAAGGGGGGTAGCGAACCTACCTACAGTAGAACAAGGGGGTAGTGAACCTACCTACAACATTACAAAAAGGGGGTAGTGAACCTACCTACATTACAAAAGGGGTAGTGAACCTACCTACATTACAAAAGGGAGGTAGTGAACCTACCTACATTACAAAAGGGGGGTAGTGAACCTACCTACAACATTACAAAAGGGGTAGTGAACCTACCTACATTACAAAAGGGGGGTAGTGAACCTACCTACATTACAAAAGGGGGGTAGTGAACCTACCTACAACATTACAAAAGGGGGTAGTGAACCTACCTACATTACAAAAGGGGGGTAGTGAACCTACCTACATTACAAAAGGGGGTAGTGAACCTACCTACATTACAAAAGGGGGTAGTGAACCTACCTACATTACAAAAGGGGTAGTGAACCTACCTACATTACAAAAGGGGGGTAGTGAACCTACCTACATTACAAAAGGGGGTAGTGAACCTACCTACATTACAAAAGGGGTAGTGAACCTACCTACAGTAGTACAAGGGGGTAGTGAACCTACCTACAGTAGTACAAGCGGGTAGTGAACCTACCTACAGTAGTACAAGCGGGTAGTGAACCTACCTACAGTAGTACAAGGGGGTAGGGAACCTACCGACAACATTACAAAAGGGGGTAGTGAACCTACCTACAACATTACAAAAGGGGGGGTAGTGAACCTACCTAGATTACTGCAAGGGTTTGGAAGACATACCTGCAGTGAAGGCAGAGCCGTCGTACACATTGGATGTCTCCCTGAAGGGCGAGTCTGTGCCACTGACATCATGATGGTCCCGACTGATCACTACTGGTCCCTGTCCAAGATATAACACCTTATTTGTGCCCCCCAAACATTCCTGTGTTTGACCCAAATGTCTGGCCGCCAACTTTGGACAGAAACAGACATTGTGTCTTATACATACATGAATGGGAATATGGGAGGGGAGGGGGTGGCTAATATTTTCATTATATGACAAAACCAAGAACAGATCATAGCACTGATCAATACTAAACACCACATTTATTTTGTTTATTCCAGCTGCAGTTTGCCTCACCTTGAGCTGTCCAGTCTTCACGGCCTCGTTAAAAGCCTGGGCTATCCTCACTCGGCCGACCTGGTCAGAGTAGAGGATCCTGGCCTGGCTTCCCACCACCAGCTTGTGCTCTCCGGCCTGCACGATCCACTTGATGTTATCGCTGTACTGCTGCCGCGTCCTCTCAGGGATGCCCTCTATGTACATGAGAGTCAAGAGAGAAAAAGTAAGTAATTATCAAAAGAAGGCACCATGCCGGGAAGGCTATGTAGCACCATCAAATGTGTGGGATAATCATAGGCAGCTAAATATTACTCAGGATGCCAATACGAGAACAAAAAGTCGTATAGTAAGATTTGTGGTATTTATGGTCGAATTAAAAGAAAACATTATTATGGCAAGATATAAATATGTTAGGAAATTATAAGCATTGGGTTAAGTAGTTTGGTGAAACATTAGGCCAAGATAACTTGACCTGTACTTAGGAATTACCTGTAATTCACGTAATTATCACGTACCTGTAACGTGATACCTGTACTTAGCTATAAGGAGGCCGGGGGAATATAAATCAAGCATTGAATATAACGAAACTTTACTGGGGTTCCTTCAATACTTCCCTGGTGCTCTAACGGATAAATACATCACCAGCCAGTCCTCCTAAGGTTTCCCAACGTCAAGAAAATGTCGTACTAAAGTGCCCCTATCCTAACCTACCAGAGAACCCAAAACAGAAAACTGGACCCTGGGGTATATGTACTAGTGCTGGCCTACCAGGACCAGGCTCTGGTTCGATTATCAAGGACAGGGGAGCGTAGGCAAAGCTAAGAAAACAGCCCAAAAAGTACAGGCGAAGCAAAACAATCTATTTGTATAGAAATTTAAAAGAAAAGCAGCGCAAATGAAAGTTTGCGACCAGTAAACAAAACACTGAGCAAACTCTCACGTGCACCACCAGATGGCAGCCCTGGTCACACGAGGCTCCAGCCAGGTCTCACACACATCGCCCAACGGTATACTCAGTTCCCTCAGGAAAGAAGGGAACCAAGTGAATTCAGTCCCCCTGGCGCAGTGGTAAGATACTCGCCCGGCGCTTTGGCCTGGGTTCGTATCCTGACCGGGTGGAAATCCTTAACTGTATCCTCTGTTCACCCAGCAGTGAATGGATACCTGGTTGTTAAACGATTTGGCGGATCGTATTCCGGGGAATATTAGGATCAAGGACTTGCCAGAAACGCTATGCGTGCTAGTGGCTGTACAAGAACGTAAGAACTTGTATATATACATAAAAAAACGAGCGTTTTACAAGGTACTTTGGGCCGGCCAGAAGAGGGCGTTTCATTACATACAATGCTTCTCGGTGCTTACAATGGCGCCGTCCAGATGAAACAAACAAGCAAAGAAACGGCTTACTTGTGGGAGCAAGAGGCAGAAGACTAGGGCTTAGGTAATAAGCAAATCAGCTACTGGAAATGTGACTAATTTGTTGAATCAGATGTTGGTTTGTTCAGCCACAGAAAATGTAAGCAGCTCGCGAAATTGATATTCCGTCCCTTTTTTTGTTTTGAGTCTTGTGGTAGGTCAGGATAAGGTCATTTTAGTACGACAGTTTCTTTACGTTGGAAAACCTTAGTTTTCAGAACGATATGGTACTACTTCTTACGCCCTAATTCCTGCAAACATGCAAACTGGAGAGTGCAGGAGGACCTTCTGTTTTTTTATTGATATCATCTGTGCAAACTGAATTTGTAGCATTACCAACAGACAGTAGTTTCTTATTTCCTATTTTCTACTTTTTCCATGTACTCTCTCACCACCTGTCTCTGTCTCACCGTCACAGATGGCTTTCAGAACAGCGCAAGCTATGTCATCTGTCTTCTTCAGGTCATCTGGATCGCCAGATGTACACACCCACCGGAAAGGACCGAACCCCAAGGAGAAGATGTCCCTGTAAGACATGATGAATACAATCAGGAATCTGTACACCAGTAAATTGACGGTGGAGGGGCGGGACCAAAGAGCCGAAGCTCAACCCCCGCAAACACAACTAGGCGAGTACAATACGGTATTCTGTAGTTTTGGTTCAAATTACGTAAATCAATTATGTTCTATGTCTTATTAGGGCAAATTATACAAGTATTATTAAATCAGAAACATCAATGCTTGTTGAATGCCTATGATACAGATTTGTATTTTTTGGATTAAATGATAACAAATCTATTATGGACACTCTGCTCTCCAGGTGGACAAAACAGAGGATTGATGTAGCAGGTAGTTGCATTACCCCATAATGTCCTGGACATAGCTTGGATAGAGGAACTTGATAGTGTCTCCCTGTGAAGCGCCCACGTCCGCGCCAGCACGACGAGCCTCCAACAGGAACGCGTTGCCGTAGTCCCAGAAGAAGAGGCCAGCCTTGGCCAGTGTGTTGATGGCAGCCACTTGGCGACACAGCGACTCCTCTACCAGTTGCCGGAACTTCTTGGGGTCTTTGGCCAACATCTGCTCAGGTGATTGATTACAAACATTCAGAAGTACAGCGCAATGATTAGAAAAAACATTTTGACTCCAAGGTTCTTTTCTTCATCAAGGACCATTTTTAACTCGGCTAAAGGCCTTCTGCAATTACAATATTTTTGTTTCTAATTGCAGAAGGTCTTTAGCAGAGTTAAAATCTTCCAGTCGTCCACAACTGGTCCTTGATGAAGAAAAGGAGTCAAAATCCACCACTCACTGAAGGTTGCACAACAGGTGGGAGCAGCAGTCAAAAGGGCTAACCAAACCCTAGGAATAATCAAGGGTATTTCTGACTTTAAGGAAAAGAACGTTATGATTCAATTGTATAAATCTTTAGGACCTGGTGTGAATAATTGTTAGCCCCTCATCCAGGTTGTTAGCAACAGGTAGTCACTGGAGGAGCCCTCCTGTAAACTTAAGATAATGAATAGGGGGAGAAACTTAAACCTTCAAAGACTTAAGGCTTCATTATGAAGAAACATTTATTCATAATGCTTACTTGTTGTTCAAACTTATAATTAGGATTGCTATGGTTTTCAAATACTTGTTCAGTCATATAAACCAAGCTTCCTCACCTCCTCAGCTTGCTGGAAGGTGAGCTGGACAGGGCAGTATCCTCCATGGAAAGGGATGTGACAGGAGGTCTGGTCGGTACCCAAGTCAACCAGGAGGTCGCCTGTCTCCTGGTACACCTGCACCAGCCGCTCCCACACGTTCACCACATTACCCAGGTACCCGATGGATGTTACCTGAGAGATGCCAACCACAAGTTGGTCAGGCGTGTGATGCTCAGTCTATGGTTACTCTTACATATTCATTCATTCATTCATTCATTCATAAAAGCCTGCCTCTCTCCCTCTCCCCCCTCTCTCTCACTATGTGTGTGTGTGTGTACTCACCTATTTGTACTCACCTATTTGTGTGTGTGTGTGTGTGTGTGTGTGTGTGTACTCACCTAGTTGTACTCACCTAGTTGTGTTTGCGGGGGTTGAGCTCTGGCTCTTTGGTCCCGCCTCTCAACCGTCAATCAACAGGTGTACAGATTCCTGAGCCTATCGGGCTCTGTCATATCTACACTTGAAACTGTGTATGGAGTGAGCCTCCACCACATCACCCCCTAATGCATTCCATTTGTCAACCACTCTGACACTAAAAATGTTCTTTCTAATATCTCTGTGGCTCATTTGGGCACTCAGTTTCCACCTGTGTCCCCTTGTGCGTGTTCCCCTTGTGTTAAATAGACTGTCTTTATCTACCCTATCAATCCCCTTCAGAATCTTGAATGTGGTGATCATGTCCCCCCTAACTCTTCTGTCTTCCAGCGAAGTGAGGTTTAATTCCCGTAGTCTCTCCTCGTAGCTCATACCTCTCAGCTCGGGTACTAGTCTGGTGGCAAACCTTTGAACCTTTTCCAGTTTAGTCTTATCCTTGACTAGATATGGACTCCATGCTGGGGCTGCATACTCCAGGATTGGCCTGACATATGTGGTATACAAAGTTCTGAATGATTCTTTACACAAGTTTCTGAATGCCGTTCGTATGTTGGCCAGCCTGGCATATGCCGCTGATGTTATCCGCTTGATATGTGCTGCAGGAGACAGGTCTGGCGTGATATCAACCCCCAAGTCTTTTTCCTTCTCTGACTCCTGAAGAATTTCCTCTCCCAGATGATACCTTGTATCTGGCCTCCTGCTCCCTACACCTATCTTCATTACATTACATTTGGATGGGTTAAACTCTAACAACCATTTGTTCGACCATTCCTTCAGCTTGTCTAGGTCTTCTTGAAGCCTCAAACAGTCCTCTTCTGTTTTAATCCTTCTCATAATTTTAGCATCGTCCGCAAACATTGAGAGAAATGAATCGATACCCTCCGGGAGATCATATGTGTGTGTGTGTGTGTGTAATTACCTAAGTGTAATTACCTAAGTGTAGTTACAGGATGAGAGCTACGCTCGTGGTGTCCCGTCTTCCCAGCACTCTTTGTCATATAACGCTTTGAAACTACTGACGGTCTTGGCCTCCACCACCTTCTCACTTAACTTGTTCCAACCGTCTACCACTCTATTTGCGAAGGTGAATTTTCTTATATTTCTTCGGCATCTGTGTTTAGCTAGTTTAAATCTATGACCTCTTGTTCTTGAAATTCCAGGTCTCAGGAAGTCTTCCCTGTCGATTTTATCAATTCCTGTAACTATTTTGTATGTAGTGATCATATCACCTCTTTTTCTTCTGTCTTCTAGTTTTGGCATATTTAATGCTTCTAACCTCTCCTCGTAGCTCTTGCCCTTCAGTTCTGGGAGCCACTTAGTAGCATGTCTTTGCACCTTTTCCAGTTTGTTGATGTGCTTCTTAAGATATGGGCACCACACAACAGCTGCATATTCTAGCTTTGGCCTAACAAAAGTCATGAACAATTTCTTTAGTATATCGCCATCCATGTATTTAAATGCAATTCTGAAGTTAGAAAGCATAGCATAGGCTCCTTGCACAATATTCTTTATGTGGTCCTCAGGTGATAGTTTTCTATCTAGAACCACTCCTAGATCTCTTTCTTTATCAGAATTCTTTAAAGATTTCTCACATAATATATAGGTTGTGTGGGGTCTATGTTCTCCTGTGTGTGTGTGTGTGTGTGTGTGTGTGTGTGTGTGTGTGTGTGTGTGTGTGTGTGTGTGTGTGTGTGTGTGTGTGTGTGTGTGTGTGTGTGTGTGTACTCACCTATATATACTCACCTATATGTGCTAGCAGGATCGAGCATTGACTCTTGGATCCCGCCTTTCTAGCTATCGGTTGTTTACAGCAATGACTCCTGTCCCATTTCCCTATCATACCTAGTTTTAAAAGTATGAATAGTATTTGCTTCCACAACCTGTTCCCCAAGTGCATTCCATTTTTCTACTACTCTCACGCTAAAAGAAAACTTCCTAACATCTCTGTGACTCATCTGAGTTTCCAGTTTCCACCCATGTCCCCTCGTTCTGTTATTATTACGTGTGAACATTTCATCTATTTCCACTTTGTCAATTCCCCTGAGTATTTTATATGTCCCTATCATATCTCCTCTCTCCCTTCTTTTCTCTAGTGTCGTAAGGTTCAGTTCCTTCAGCCGCTCTTCATATCCCATCCCTCGTAGCTCTGGGACAAGCCTCGTCGCAAACCTCTGAACCTTCTCCAGTTTCTTTATGTGTTTCTTCAGGTGGGGGCTCCATGATGGCGCGGCATACTCTAAGACGGGTCTCACGTAGGCAGTGTAAAGCGCCCTAAAAGCTTCCTCATTTAGGTTTCTGAATGAAGTTCTAATTTTCGCCAGTGTAGAGTACGCTGCTGTCGTTATCCTATTTATATGTGCCTCAGGAGTTAGATTAGGTGTCACATCCACTCCCAGGTCTCTTTCTCGAATCGTTACAGGTAGGCTGTTCCCCTTCATTGTGTACTGTCCCTTTGGTCTCCTGTCACCTGATCCCATTTCCATAACTTTACATTTACTGGTGTTAAACTCCAGTAGCCATTTCCCTGACCATCTCTGCAGCCTGTTTAAGTCCTCTTGGAGGATCCTACAATCCTCGTCTGTCACAACTCTTCTCATTAATTTTGCGTCATCTGCAAACATTGACATGTATGATTCCACTCCTGTAAACATATCATTTACGTAAATTAGAAAGAGGATTGGTCCCAGCACCGATCCTTGAGGTACTCCACTTGTTACTGTTCGCCAGTCCGACTTTTCGCCCCTTACCATTACCCTCTGGCTCCTTCCTGTTAGGTAGTTCTTCACCCATACTAGGGCCTTTCCGCTTACTCCTGCCTGCCTCTCAAGTTTGTATAGCAGTCTCATGTGCGGTACCGTATCAAAGGCCTTTTGGCAGTCAAGAAATATGCAGTCTGCCCAGCCTTCTCTGTCCTGCCTTATCCTTGTTACTTTATCATAGAATTCTAAAAGGTTTGTTAGGCATGATTTCCCTGTCCAGAACCCATGTTGGTGCTTGTTTACAAACCCAATGCTCTCCAGGTGCTCAACAAGTCTTAGCCTAATTATTCTTTCAAGTATTTTGCAGGGGATGCTTGTCAGTGATACGGGTCTGTAGTTAAGTGCCTCCTCCCTATCACCCTTTTGAAAATCGGTACGACATTTGCCTCCTTCCAGCAACTGGGCAATTCTCCCGACATAAGTGACTCATTAAAGATCATTGCCAGAGGCACGCTGAGAGCCTGCGCTGCCTCTTTGAGTATCCACGGTGATACTTTGTCTGGTCCAACAGCTTTATTTGCATCCAGTGTTGTCAACTGTTTCATTACATCCTCTGCTGTCACCTCTATATCCGATAGTCTTTCATCTTGGGTAATCTCTTCTAACAATGGGAGCTGCTCAGGCTCGGTTGTGAACACTCCATGGAATTTTGCATTCAGTACCTCGCAGATTTCCTTGTCGCTTTCTGTATATGCCCCTTCTGTTTTCCTCAGTCTTGTCACTTGGTCATTTACCGACATCTTCCTTCTTATATGGCTATGTAGTAATTTTGGTTGCTTTTTCGCTTTGACTGCAATATCGTTCTCATAATTCCTTTCCGACACTCGTCTTATGTTAATGTAATCATTCCTAGCTCTGTTACATCTAATCCTGTTGTCCTCTGTCCTTTGTCTTCTGTACTTCCTCCACTCCCTCCTGCTTCTCACCTTTGCTTCCTGACACTGTCTATTAAACCATGGGTTATTATATTCCCTCCTGCTTTTTTCCTTTATTGTTGGAATAAATCTATCTTCAGCCTCCTTGCATTTCAATATGACTTGGTTCATCATACCTTGCACTGTTTTTCCTCTAAGTTCTTCCTCCCACTGCACTTCTCCCAGGTAGTCCCTTATCCTTCTGTAGTCCCCTTTTCTGTAATCAAGTCTCCTTTCCCGGACCTCTTGTCCTTTGGTCACAATTTTAAGCTCCATCATGTAGTCAAAGACTAGGACACAATGGTCACTAGCTCCTAGTGGTATTTCATGTTCCAACTGCTCGATGTCTTCTACATTCTGAGTGATAATGAGATCTAATAGGCTGGGCGTATCCCCTCCTCTTTCCCTAGTATCTTCTTTCACATGCTGTGTTAGGAAATTCCTGTCAATAACGTCTACCAGCTTCGCTCCCCAGGTCTCCTCCCCGCCATGGGGATTCCTCGTTTCCCAATTTATCTCTCCGTGATTTAGGTCCCCCATGACCAGCAGCTTCGCTCTCATTCTATGCGCTAAAGTTGCTGCCCTCTGCAGTTCATCCATACATGTCTTGTTGCTGTCCTCGTACTCCTGCCTGGGCCTTCTACTGTTTGGTGGGGGATTGTAGAGTATCAAGATTACAATCTTCTTCCCATCCACTGTCAGAGTTCCATGTATGAAGCTTGTGCTTTCATTGGTACCCGGATTTTCCAGCTCATCAAACTTCCATTTCCGCTTTATTAGTAGTGCCACTCCTCCTCCCTGTCTCTGTGTCCTTTCTTTTCTTATCACCTGGTACCCCTCTGGAAAGATTGCATCCGAGATCATGCCATTTATTTTAGTTTCCACTATTGCCACTATGTCTGGGTCTGCCTCACTAACTCTTTCTTTTATCTCTTCTGCTTTATTGGCTACCCCATCAGCATTGGTGTACCAAACCTTGAGACTCTTCTTGGAAACTCGGGTGTCAGAGTTCCCCCTTTCACCAGGGGTCTGGGGGGAACTGGGGGGTGTCTGGGGGGCAAGTGGGGGCTGTGGGGGTGAGTGGGGGGGTGCTAGGGGGGTGCCTGGGAGTGCCTGGTAGGCGAATGGGGTCTGGGCATCTAGGGGGGTAGGAAGGGCATAATGGGTCTGAAAGTTAGGGGTCTGAATAGCATAGGGGGGTTGAGAAATAGAGTGAGACTGAGAGTCAGATAGAGGTTGAGAGGTTGGGGGGAAGAGGGATACTGAGGGCGGAGAGCTGAGATGAGAATGGAGCATGGGTGCTGGGAGTGGAAGAGAGGGTATATTAGTTAGGGGGGAATCGGGGGTAGGTGGGGGTTTTGGGGTAGAAGAGGGGAAGAGGGAGATGGGGGAAGGTGTTAGGGGGTCACAAGGTGAGGGGGTTAAATGTGGGCTGGAGGTGCATAGGAGGGGTGAGGGTTGGGTGGGGTTTGGGGGTGAGTGGAAGAGGGGTGCAGTGGAAGCTGGGATGGAGTAGATGGAATTGAAGTCAATGGGGTAGAAGGGGCAGGGGAGTGGGAAGGGGTATTTGGGGAGGGGGGATGGGAAGGTGGGTTTGGGGAGGGCATGGCTTGACCCACTGGGGTCGCTGACAAGTGTGATGTAGCAGGGGCAGGGGAATCGTTGTGGAGGTGCAAATGTGGAAGGGACAGGGGGGTTGTGGGAGGCTGAGGCAGGGGGGATGTATAGGAGGGCTGAGTTGGGGAGGATGCGACCTGGGAGGTGACCTGGGAGGTGCCCTGGGAGGTGACCTGGGATGTGACCTGGGAGGTGAGACTACCTGATAGACTATTTCGGTGTCGTTGTTGCCATCTATTTTTGTGGGCTGTTTGCTCATCTTTCGTCATAAACCTCTCTATAAACACATTGTAATGGGTTTCACTTCCTCTGAGTAAATGCTTGCTCCTCATTATATACTCCACTGCCTCCTCATTGGAGAATTGCACCAGAACAGGTCTATTCTTGGTACAATTGTAAGGTCCAACCCGTCGATTGATATCCACCTCGTGTTCTGCCATTCCTGCTCCAATACACCTCAATATCTCGTGCAATTCGTATTTTTCTGTTTCTATTCTCTCTTGTCTTGTTGGTGCCCTAGATTCGAATAATCCATGTATTATAATAGACCGTCTCCTCAGTAATTCATTGTCATGCTGGTAGCCTGTCCCCTGGGGATTCCCCATCCCAACCGCAGTCACTAACCCATCCCCCATTACTCCTCTATCCTTAGCCATGCTGCTAATCCTTCCTAATTCGTTTGTGATACGAGCACATTCCCTCTCCCAGTCCTCTCTTCCCTTCCTAATCTCTTCCTGAACATAGAGCATAAATTCTTGTTTCTGCCTCTCTACCGCATCCTGTATTTGCTGAAATACCTCACTTTTAATCCCCTGGATTAGATCCTCCAACCAATCACTCCTTCTCTCTACAAATTTCCCTATTAATTTGTCTATAAATCTGTCCTCCTCCTCATCCCTGCTGGTGATTGACCTTGAACCCCTTCTAGTCATTGCAGTAACAATCCAGCCAAAAAGGCGCTCCTCAATACCTTACACAATCTGCCAACACAATAGGTGAGTGAATCTCCAATCGTCGTCCCACGTGGTGGTAGAAGGGTTGCTGTGAGGTGAGGTCACGCGGTCAGAGGTCGGTGATGTCTGCTGCTTCCACACTGCACAGTATTTCCTCACTATTTTGAATTACGCTAATTAAACTGTTTTTCTTCACTACCTTATGGCTCTGGTCAAAACCCAAGGTTTTTTCATTCACTTGTACATTCACTTATAGTCTTTTTCACTTCGAAGTTGCCTGATTACCCCTCCCACTCCACTAGTGACCCAGGAGCTCCCAACCCACGTCCACCCAACACGATGGTCACAAGACAAGTGTCTTGTGACCAAGACTTATGTGTATGTGTATGTGTATGTGTATGTGTGTGTGTGTGCGTGTGTGTGTGTGTGTACTCACCTAATTGTACTCACCTAATTGTGCTTGCGGGGGTTGAGCTCTGGCTCTTTGGTCCCGCCTCTCAACCGTCAATCAACTGGTGTACAGATTCCTGAGCCTATTGGGCTCTATCATATCTACATTTGAAACTGTGTATGGAGTCAGCCTCCACCACATCACTTCCTAATGCATTCCATTTGCTAACTACTCTGACACTGAAAAAGTTCTTTCTAACGTCTCTGTGGCTCATTTGGGTACTCAGCTTCCACCTGTGTCCCCTTGTTCGCGTCCCACCAGTGTTGAAAAGTTCATCCTTGTTTACCCGGTCGATTCCCCTGAGGATTTTGTAGGTTGTGATCATGTCCCCCCTTACTCTTCTGTCTTCCAGTGTCGTGAGGTGCATTTCCCGCAGCCTTTCCTCATAACTCATGCCTCTTAGTTCTGGGACTAGTCTAGTAGCATACCTTTGGACTTTTTCCAGCTTCGTCTTGTGCTTGACAAGGTACGGGCTCCATGCTGGGGCCGCATACTCCAGGATTGGTCTTACATATGTGGTGTACAAGATTCTGAATGATTCCTTACACAGGTTCCTGAACGCCGTTCTGATGTTAGCCAGCCTCGCATATGCCGCAGACGTTATTCTCTTTATGTGGGCTTCAGGAGACAGGTTTGGTGTGATATCAACTCCTAGATCTTTCTCTCTGTCTGTTTCATTAAGTACTTCATCTCCTATTCTGTATCCTGTGCCTGGCCTCCTGTTTCCACTGCCTAGTTTCATTACTTTGCATTTACTCGGGTTGAACTTCAACAGCCATTTGTTGGACCATTCACTCAGTCTATCCAGGTCATCTTGTAGCCTCCTACTATCATCCTCTGTTTCAATCCTCCTCATAATTTTTGCATCGTCGGCAAACATTGAGAGGAACGAATCTATACCCTCTGGGAGATCATTTACATATACCAGAAACAGTATAGGTCCAAGGACTGACCCCTGCGGGACTCCACTTGTGACGTCTCGCCAATCTGAGACCTCACCCCTCACACAGACTCGTTGTCTCCTGTTGCTTAGGTATTCCTCTATCCACCGGAGTACCTTCCCTCTCACTCCAGCCTGCATCTCCAACTTTCGCACTAGCCTCTTGTGTGGCACTGTATCAAAGGCTTTCTGACAATCCAAAAATATGCAGTCTGCCCACCCTTCTCTTTCTTGCCTTATTTTTGTTGCCTGGTCGTAGAATTCAAGTAACCCTGTGAGGCAGGACCTGCCATCCCTGAACCCATGTTGATGCTGTGTTACAAAGTTCCTTCGCTCCAGATGCTCCACTAGTTTTTTTCGCACAATCTTCTCCATCAGCTTGCATGGTATGCAGGTTAGGGACACTGGCCTGTAGTTCAGTGCCTCCTGTCTATCCCCTTTCTTGTATATCGGGACTACGTTAGCTGCTTTCCAAATGTCTGGCAGTTCCCCTGTTGCCAGTGATTTGTTATACACTATGGAGAGTGGTAGGCTCAGTTCTCTTGCTCCTTCCTTTAGAATCCAAGGGGAGATTCCATCTGGGCCTATAGCCTTCGTCACGTCCAACTCTAGTAAACACTTCCTTACTTCCCCACTGGTAATCTCAAACTCTTCCAGTGGTTCCTGGTTAGCTATTCCCTCACTTACCTCTGGAATTTCTCCTTGTTCCAAGGTGAAGACCTCCTGGAATTTCTTTTTCAATTCCTCACACACTTCCTTGTCATTTGTAGTGAATCCTTCCGCCCCTATCCTTAATCTCATAACCTGTTCCTTTACTGTTGTTTTTCTCCTAATGTGGCTATGCAACAATTTAGGCTGAGTCTTTGCCTTGCTTGCGATGTCATTTTCGTATTGTCTTTCTGCCTCTCTTCTCATCCTGACATATTCATTCCTGGCATTCTGGTATCTTTCTCTGCTCTCCAGTGTCCTGTTATTCCTATAGTTTCTCCATGTGTGTGTGTGTGTGTGTGTGTGTGTGTGTGTGTGTGTGTGTGTGTGTGTGTGTGTGTGTGTGTGTGTGTGTGTGTGTGTGTGTGTGTGTGTGTGTGGAGTAGGCATAATACAAAGTTTTATTCCTAACATACAAAGACAAAGGTCACTACACGTTAAACTAGCGACTATCAGTTCAGCTTTCAGGGATCTTAGTAGGAAGGCACTCACAACACTACACCACCTATGTGAGACCAGTCACAGAATATGAAGTCCACTGTGGAGCCCCCCCTCCCCCTCCCACTCAACTCCACCAAAAAATAGGACAACTTTAATAGGTGCAGATATTTACAACAAGATTCATTCCAAAATTATGTCGGATGGGTATGAGAAAAGATGTGAAGAGGACTTGATAACAGTAGAAAATGAGACATGATAAACACACTTAGGAGAGGAAATATTCACAATGCTCTCCAACAGAAACCGAAGGCATGGATAGAAGATACAGAAACAGATGGGCCATGTAGATGTGAGAAAGTACAATTCTCATTTAGCGTTAAAGTAAATGAGAATTGCATCAAACTGGATGGTGGGTAAATATGATAGACATGTAAGTCAGGACGTGTATTGCACTAGAAGACCAACAGCAGAAAAGGTGCGTTCCAAAAGTTGTGGAATAACTGCAGACACAAATAGTCGAGAATACAAATACATATACATTTACCTGCTTCTTGGTCCTTGCCTCCTGAATTCTCTTAATAAGCACCTCAAGATCATCAGTGTATTCTTCCAACCAACCTTGTTCATAGCGCTTCTTCAATGCCACCTCGTTCACCTGTCAGCAACAAGAAAATTTGGATACAATGGAAATGGGTATGGTATTATATATATATTTATAAATATACTAGAGCGGGTACCCAGAGATGCCTGGTTTAAATTCCATTAAAGTGTTGGGAGCCCCCATGAATGCAACTGCCATAAAACTACGAATTCAGCCCCAGAGATTTCATCTCCATCAAGTTTATGAAAGATCTCTAGAGCCAACCCCCGACCCATCTATCAGTCACCCTGCAAAGTTTATTGAAGCCAGCCCAAAGTGTGTGGCCTCCAACCGTGGCCATATAATTGTTGTTTGGCCATATAAACACACATCCTCTTTTATAAGTTGTTAGATGTTGACCAAACCACACACTAGAAATGAAGGGACGACGACGTTATTTCAATAACGTGGCTGAAATATGTCAACATATTTCAGCCACGTTATTGTGACTCCTCGTCTGCACGTTGTCAGATGCCAAGTTCTCGCCAACCCCCCTCTCTCACCTCTCCCCCTCTCCTTCCAATCTCCCCTTCCCTTGCTTCTCTCCCGACTCCCCTCTCTTTCCCTATTTCTCTCTCTCCCCTTCCCCCTCTTTTTTTTTACACTGGGTAGATACGCAGATTGTAACTCCGTTTAGCAGGCCGAGAGCTTTCCCTTTCCACAGTTCATGATAAGCCTTACCTTATTAGCTTCTTCCAGGGAAAACCGAATAAGGACCCCAATTATTGCTGGGTGAACAGGGGCAAACAGTTATGGATTATCACCCCGATTTTTGTCACGGGTTGAGAATGAGTGTATGTGTAAATGTGTGTCTGTAATTACCTAAGTGTAGTTACAGGATGAGAGCTACGCTCGTGGAATCCCGTCTTCCCAGCATTATTTCATACTCCTCCGTCCTAGCTACATATACAACATTTTGGCCACATCACGAACACCGAGGGCGCAGTGATGAATACTGAGGTGAAGTGTAAAGTGATGAATACCGAGGTGAGAGATGTGGCCTTATTGTGTGTATATTATACTCTTGGTGGGAGGTAACTCAATGTCAACATGACGGGATCATTAACTGTAAATAATAACAGCAGCTTACTTAACACGGCAGGGACAAAGACTAGCAAATGTAAACACAGGAGAGACAGACTAACTAATGTGCACAAACACGGCAGGGACAAAGACTAGCTAATGTGCACAAACACGGGAGGGACAAAGACTAGCTAATGTGCACAAACACGGCAGGGACAAAGACTAGCAAATGTAAACACAGGAGAGACAGACTAACTAATGTGCACAAACACGGCAGGGACAAAGACTAGCTAATAATGACAAACAACACGGGTACAGGTAGCACAGAAGCATATGGATAAATATAACACAGAGTGGGGCCACAAACCTCAGCGACAACCCCGATGCAGCCACAGATGACGGCGGCCTTCGCCTGAGCGCCGCTCATGCCGCCCAAGCCTGAGGTGACCAATACCCGTCCAGCCAGGCTCTCCACCTTCAGGTACTTCCTTCCTGCGTTGAGCACCGTCAGCTGAAGGAGAAGGGAACGGAATTATCAGGAGAAGACGCCAGGACATTACGATTATATAGCACTTATAAGGAATCAGGATAAGGATTTGGGATGGGACGGCGGGAAAGGAATAGTGTCCAACCACTTGGACGGTCGGGGACTGAACGCCGACCTGCATGAAGGGAGACCGTCGCTCTGCCGTCCAGCCCAAGTGGTTGGACAGCTGAAGGAGAACAATATTATGGGCTCCACTCATTCATGCTACACCCTCTCAACTTCTATTTCTAATGCCAGCAAATGCAGTCTTCATTAAATAGTAACGAAAATAGTGACCACAATTATTGAATATATATTCATCATCAGATAAAAACAACAAGAACAAAAACTATGCAAGAGTTGCTATGTAACACTGGTTTTGGGTTCCTCTCACTACTTCTCTTCCTTCTACTCCCTCTACCCGTATTCTTACTATTTGTTCTCTACCCAGGGACTCCAAAACTTTTACCAAAGCCAACTCCACGCCACGTGGTCCTAAGACGATTGACCGACTTAGGATTCTACACCCCGTATGACGTGACCTAGGCTCTGAACAAAACCCTAGAGTCGCCTCTACGCTGCCACCACCAGACCAGAAAAAAAGAAGAGCAATGATCGAGGTCTGGATCGATCACGCTAATTAATCAACCTAGGGGCTTGATCCCCACTATATACGATGACCTTGAGTGTGGAATAAATTACACGGTAATGATAATTCCGATTCGATGTTAGAATCGGCGCCCAATCCAACTCTGCCTCGTGTGGACCACGTGACCAGGACAAGTGTACACATAAAACACATGGAAACAATAAAAATGCAAATTCTTAACTTAATTAATTTATTAAAAGAAAACTAAAACAAAAATCTAAATATGTTCACTCCCTATCACTTTAACACTCCCTACTTGACCTGAGTGGCAAATGAGACTATTTCTATACATAACCATAGCAACTATACCTTGGGCGACCAGTTCTAGATGTTGGCTGGTCTCGGGGAGAGGTAAGATGTTTGACCTCTCCCAGCTGCTTCCGTGACCACACTGATCTCTCTCTTGTCTGGTCTACCCCAGACAGAGTATTGTATCCTTCCGCCTAGTCAAAGTCCTACCCAGTTACTAGCAAGGTTTAAGTTATAACAATTAACCTCTGTTGTACTTAATTGATCCAGACTGGTTGAATTATTTTACTGAATTAAATTACAAACATCTAACGGCAGAGCTGTTCCCGATCACCAAAATGGTTATTTGAACTTTGAGAAATACTAGACATGTCAACCCTGCTGACCTATGACCGCCGGTCACTCCGCCTTAAAAGTTAGATCTGATTCGTGACGTCACTGATGGTGACTTAAACTCAATAATTAGAATACTCTTGATATTGTATCCAGTACTATTATACAATACAATTTTAATGCAAAATGAATAAAGGCTAATTTTCTCTAAATTACTGAATACTATAGGATGGTTCATTATACGCAGCTATGAACAAAGCGTCGGTTATTTCCACCGCGAATCCCCCTGGGGGTCAGGTCACCATGCGGCTCAGCTTCCCATTCTCTTTTGTCGATAAACCACTCTGGATAATTCTTACAACAGCCTAGTTTGTTACAACCCCCCCCCGCACAAGCACTTAGTAAACCTTGTTAATTTGTTAAAAAATCACGAGGTTTAGTATCCAAACCCACAATTCAACTCATGCCACAAACAAAAGCTAACCTAACTAATAAAATTTGACAAATAATAGTCCAACATCATAATAAACATGTTCATATTTTTCTCAGCTGTCAACTGACAGCAATCCTCAAACATCAGGAAACATACATCCTATCCTCACTGACATAGCTAAATAACATGGCCCTACTCTATCATCAAAGACTAGCTATTAAACTCTATTGGCTCTTCACTAGCCAAGTCCATGTGTCCTCTAGAGCCGGCCACACCGTGCTCAAACAAACATTAAAGTTATATCATCAGACTGAACTTTCAGTCATCCGGGAGCGTACTACGGAACTATCAGGTACACATCCGTGTACTAACCACTCCCCATCAATGTCAACCTTGACATTCTAAGGAACACACCTAACGTTTATTACATGTATCTAAAAATATAAAAAAAATTCCTATACTATATCACAGGTTTCAGCTGACTGTACAGCCAAGTGTTCTCACTCACTAGAAGTGTCAATGTTTATATTGGTCCGCCTCTCCTGTGTTCAAACATTCTGAAAAAAATAGCACAACATAATTTTCCATAACCGTTTGTTCTGGGCTGAGACAATTACACAGGGGCTTCGATTTTGATTACTGACCAATTTATAGAGTAAAATTCATATATTATACCAGAATTATTATTTTAAATCTGTTTTTCAACATTTATAAAGTATTGATTCTAAATCTGTTTTTCAACATTTAAACAAAAGTGTCCAGATGTTCTTTACACAGATGTTCAGAGCCAACTTTGTTGTTTTGTATCAATTGTTCATATTGAGTAAACGAGAAAAAAAAAAAAAAAAAAAAAAAAAAAAAAAAAAAATCGATGCTGCTGGATGCTGAATGTAGTCGCTGACGATGACGGTGTCGATCTTGCTTCTTCTCATGTGTAGACATCAATACCTGGTCCTCTTGTACTCCCATCCGGTACTCCTGAATGACGACAGAGTGTAGTAGAGCGGAGTGCCAAGTGACAGCTGTAGAATACTGTTACTTCGGCCATTAATCTTGCTCTCGACAATCCACACGCCTTCATATCAATCACAGTTCACACAGCAGTCTTGATGTTAAACTTGACGGCGCAGATGACCACAGCAGAGCAGGACTGGATGTACCAACGGTGTCTCTTAGCAGGAGTGGTGTCAGAAGGTCGTAGAGGCGGGTTGCTTGTTTGCAGAACAGGTGAATCTCGTCTTCCATCATTGCTCACGTCATCTCAGGCGTTTCTTGATGTCCCCAGGTTACTAGGCCGTAAACACCAACTGTGTATACCCTCGTACCGCCGACTTTAGGCCAAAGGAGACAATTTTGCGACCTTCTATTGGCGAGTCCCGGTACTCTGTAGGGAAACCGTGCCTTCCACCTGTGACCGCCTTACTTCCGCTTTCTTGTTACTTCAGATGACGTAATCATTAATCTTCCGGCGAAATTCTTGAGTACTGCTACGTGCTTTCCATTTCTTGACCTCTCCTCCAACACTGCTGGAATGGCTGCAGTCTTGATGACGCAGCAGGTGGGTATTGGTGATCTCGAGACAGCTACCCCGGCGTTGTATGGCACCTCCGGTGACTGCTATATGTGGACAGCTTGCTGGCCCTGACAACCTCGTTAGTGACGTGAGGCGTCGGCCGGGTGACTCTTGGACAGTCACTCATCCCCAAAGTAACTGATGTATGGGTTACTGGGTCTGGTGGGGGGAGGGCTTTGTGTAACGTGCCTCCCCCCTCGGTCTTTACAGACAAGGGTTCACGTGTGGCTGGAACAACTGGGTCGGTGTACCAATCAGACCTGGGAACAGACAGACACAACACAGCGGAAGCATAGATATACTCTGGGTTTGGTGGAGGTGGAACCCCAGAGCACGGTAAAAGTTGCTACCTGAGTCAAGTATAGACATAGTACATCTCATTGCCTTTACAGGAAAATCTAATGAATACTAAATTATACTAACTAAGGAAGTTACTTTACTGTACAGCGCGAGATCTCGTCACCATAGGGTGGCGAGACTGCACCTGACTACTGATGAGCGATGACAGAGGGTCATCCTCATCTTCTGACTCGTCGGTGAAGCCATGAGTCAGCACTGCTGAGTCAGGAACTAGCCCCGCTGAAGGCAGTTCTAATTCCTCTCTAGCATGATAATGTTTCAATTTATTTACATGAATTGTCCTTTCCACCTGGTCCTCGAACACTCCTTTTATAACAAGATTAACTGGCCCCGCCCTTTTAATTACTCTATATGGTCCTCGCCACCTCGGAGCTAGTTTCCTGCTCTGATTGGCGGGCGCAGCCTCATTCACTCTCAATACGAGGCTTCCTTCCTTCAACTCAAGAGGGCGCACTTTCTTGTCATAAAAATGAGCATACCGAGTCCGTGCCTTCTTGGACGCTTCAGCTGCAATATTCCATGCATTTCTCATTTTTCCAAGGACCTCTGAAGGATAGTCCTCCCCGTATGCAACATTATGTCTGTTAAGCAGACCTGACGGGAAATTGCATGAATTACCAGTAAACAAATGAAGTGGTTGGGTGTTAATTGATTGGTGGATGGCAGTATTCAAGGCGAACTGAACATAGGGTAGGTGTTCATCCCAGGTGTTTGCATCATGTTCAGCAAGGATTGCAAGCATATCCTTGACTGAACGATTAGTCCGTTCCGTCATTCCGTTTGCTTGTGGGTGGTAGGCCGTTGTAAAAGCCGAAGTTGTCTCTAAAATCTTACAAACTTCTCTAAATATATTCCCATTGAATTCTTGACCCCGGTCAGAGACTAAAACTTTAGGAGGTCCGAATATCCAGTGTTACAGCTAAACCACAAAATAAGAAAAACGTTCAGATAAAGCAATTCAAGTAAATATTATAAACCCAAATTATATGAATTTAAAATTATCCCATTAACACAGAATATAAGAAATTAACAATAATTTGTACTAACGAAGACAAAATACCTACTTACGTTATGATTACAGTAGAAATGTACAAATATTTATGAAAAACTACAATCACTTATTCAGAAAATATAAACAAAACTACAGCATTACTAGGAATTTATATAATAACACGCAAACGGAAATATATAAAGACTGCAAACTAACATTTAACAGTTAAATTTCAAATATTACAAAGAATAATTAATGTACACTAGTTTCTATAACCGGTAATAACAAAACATAAATTAAACTAAGGTAAAAATATTGAAAAAATGTAACGTTGAAAAAGGGGAACTAAAGAAAGTAGCTTAAATCTAAACTGTATAAAGTTACACAGAGGAGACGTAATTATTCAGTGAAGGCAGAAGTTCTTCAATATAAAAATACTACTATTTTAGATCAAAGAAAGCACTACAGTATTACAAATATCCATTTTTTTAAACCAGGCTGATTGAGAGAATTATTCTCTTCTTGAGAATCGCGAGAATCTTCTCTGCCCGAAACGCTATGCGTGTTAGTGGCTTTGCAAAAATGTACAAATACCAATTTTATGTAATCTCACCAACCCATTGCACCTTCTTGTGAATAAATTATTATTATTATTATTATTATTATTATTATTATTATTATTATTATTATTATTAGTCTCCTAATTTCGGAGAATAACGCGTTCGACAATGACAAACCAGTTCTATACAAAGATTCTCTGTTCCAACATCCTAATTTTGAAGCTCCTGATGGAACAGCCGATGTATGTTAGCGTTACAGATAGAACAGCTGTATGAATAAAAGACACTGATCCAAACTGAGTAGGTAGAATGTCCTTATATAAAATGAAAACCAATGGTATTCAAATTAATAAAGGAAAAATATAAAAAATCTATATGAGAATAACACTGTTAAAGCACTTTTCTTAGTTGATTTCTAATCGAGAAAATCAGAAAACCATATGGTAACTTAATATATCTCGGATGTTTCTTCACAGTAGAGATATGAGGTTCAGATACAAATATTCTGAACACATGTTACTCAGGTAGGCACTGTGATGCCATGTGTATTGTGATCTTACTTGTTACCACACTTCTAATGATTTGTATGTGTGATGTTGCAGTAAACAAAGTAAACAAAGACTTGCGGCGCCATACCGTGCTGCCGTGAACGATGCCTTGGGGTCCAATGTAGCAGTAGCTGCCTGCTGTCATCTGCCCGTACCTGAGGTGGTCATAACAATGACTATACCACTATATTTTGTAACAGTTGGAATTTCACAAACTGTATTAAGCACTTTACTGCAGCACTATCAAATAATGTGTTCAGTTATTTTAATGATTTATTGCTTCCTTGTAATTTCAAATGTATTATTCATCTCATAAGTACATGCCAGTGATTTCCAACATGAATAATTTAATATTATTTATTTGGAAAGAAAAAACAATAATTACAAGATACTGTCATTAATGTATGAACACGAAATCAAGCATCCTATGGCTGGCTGACAGACAGACAGTTACAAAAATATATTTGCAGATAATGCCTTTCCCCCAAAAAAATCGAAAGACAAAATTGAGTGAAGAAAAACATGGCAGATGGCACTCAATGTAAATAAATGCCGTATTATGGCACATGAAAGATAGGAAAACAGGCCACATACTCGACCTATAAATTATGTTAAAAGATACTAAGTAGCTGTGACAGGGAGAGAGAGAGATCTGGGGGTGCTTGTAGAGGGTAAACTCTCACCAGACGAGCACAACAAAGGTTTGTGAGAGGTACCTATGATATGCTAGCAAATTTCTGCAACCCATTCTCCTGTTTAGATAGTACCTAGTGTGACAGTCGTCAATAGTCACGAATTCGTACGTATTTAGCTTTTAGATAGTAGTACACTGACTAGTACGGAATTCTTTTAAAATAAATGAAACTAAAAAAAAAAACTTAATATTCCTAGGCCTAGTATAACATATGTACTATATTAGGCCTCAGATATCGTATTAGGCCTAGGAAGGTTAGGTTAGGTTAGTTTAGTTTGTCAAAGCAACGCAAGTAAAAAATAGTTTTCCGGTTTGTCTAACTCAATAGTACAGATTTCTACTTTCTAATTTTGTTGTTCGTCGGTATATATACTATGGTCCTCATCATTACTATAAGTACAAACAAAACAGGAGGATGGGCTGTATAAATATATAAATGGCGACATACTAAACTGTTCATGACATTCATTAAACCAAAATTGGAATGTGTAGCAGTAGTTTGGTTTCCATATCCCAAGAAGTACATCAATAAACTAAAATAGGTTCAAAGACATGCTACTTAATATTAATTGTGATGAGAATATTCGTAGGAGCCGTGATGAGGGTTCGAACCTATGCGGTGGGTAGTCTCACGCACATGCCCCATAAAATTAGGCTTCGATATGGTTAAAGGATTGCAACCTGGAGTTCTACTGAACACACGAGGGTTTCCTGAGGCTTCCACTGAAGCCGGACCAAGATTTTCACACAATCCCCCCATGCACTCTGGCTCTGCCATCTAGTAATGTTCTGCCTCTGACGCTCCTCTTTGAATACACAGAGAGTAATGACACCTACGTGATGTGTCAATGAGAAAATCCGTAGGAGCCGTGATACGGGCTGTCTGGGGCGTGTAAGTGGGAAAGCCCACCGCATAGGTTCGAACCCGAACCCCTTGCATGGTTAACTCCACGCAAGGCGTCTAATGGAAGGATGATAAACACAGGATGATTTAGGCATTATCACAACTGATGACTGATGGATACCAATCTTGGCCGCTTATGGCTGGAACTCAATGAACGCTGCCTGCAGAAAGAAGATACAAAGAACTCACATTGTGACTCCCATGGCAAACATGTCGTCGTAGTGGGCTCGGGAGGAGTAGTTTGGGATAACCATGCCGTTGGTGGTGACGAGCCTGGGTGAGCGGGAGTCAGAAGGGAAGAGCCCCAGCGGGTGACCGGAGTAGAGCACCAGCGTCTGCTCCTCCGTCATCAGGGAGAGGTAGTGCAGCACCAGCCACACCTCCACAACACAACCCACGATTTAATGTTTACATTTTCATTGGACAGGGTAGCCTATTGATTTTTTGAATTGCTTTTATTAATGTTACAAAATGCAAAGAAAACAGCACCCCAAGTTAAATTTATTTAAATGTTTGTAATCATCACCATTATAAGTGCAATAATGATAAGCACACAAATGCTCATTTTATACGTCTGATAAATATACAAACACAAATTAATGTGGAGAAAAATGGGGAGAATTAATTTTGTAAGGGAAATTATATATTGTAGGTAACATTGCTAAATTGTAGGGAGAGGTTGATATTTTTGGTCTGGCCTCTTCCCAAGTACTCGAGGATTTCATTAACTAGAGATAATCATTCCATCTACAAAATTCACTGTTGAATTTCAGCAGGCGGAATCAATGCCACTATTGGATGTAAAGATTTATAGGTAGGAAGAGCATCAAGTTCAACGTATACAGGAAATCTATTAATGTAGAGATTATACATATAAGAGAATATGTCAGTCCGAAGTTGGAGGCCAGACGCTTTGGGTTAGCTTCACCCAAATTTGCAGGAGAATGGTCTAGGGTACGGGACGGACATAGGCTGGTCGGGTAGACTTAATTTAATGATTAAAGAAACTTTAGTAATTACCCACAACCCTAGGCCATTGTTATAGTCTTGGACGTTGTCAGGTGTGAAATATGGCGGGTAATTAACGTGTTGATAATTACCTTACCTTGTAATGCTTAACTAGGTACTTCCTCCCCTGGAAGATTCTTCATCAGAGAATACCCCTCACCTGTGCCCAGTTGGAGAACACCTGTCCATTACCGCCGTAGGTAACGAGCTCATGAGGGAACTGGGCTACACAAGGGTCAAGGTTGTTCATTATCATGTGCATCATCGCCGCGGCCTTCGTGGTCTTGGCTGGGTACTCCGCCAGCGGGTATGCTCTGTCGACAGAGGTGTAGGTCATATTGACTGTGTGTAAGAATAGTGGTTGTTTAGATCTGAATATAGATGCGGCGATGTGTGAGAACTGGAACTAGACGTAGATCAGCATTAGGTGGTGTGATGGTGTAGGTCTGGACAGTGTGTAGGGGTATAGATAGAACGGGTTTAGGGGACGAATGTGGCTTAAAACTAAGTGTAAAGGCGGTGATGGAAGCTAATTTTGGCGTATGGTTTAATTTAAAATTTTGTGTGCGGGTGGTGCTGGTATTGATGGCGGGGTATAGTGAAGTTGGTTAGAACTAGAAGCGAGGGGTTTGGATAATCAGAAGTTTGTGGTGATGTGGATGAGAACTAGATGACATTAGTCAAGACTTAATATATGAGCAGTGGGTCATGACTGGTTGTACGGATGATGCCTGATAGACCGGGTGTCAATGTTACACAGATTGGTTGTAGATTGATGGTGTCGGGCACGGCTGCGTACTGATGTAGGGTTACGATCATGAAACACCCTATATTTATGTACACATTTGTCGCTCAGTATAATAAAACTTGTTTGTGCCTAAGAAATATATATTAATGCTATAAATCAATATAGAAATCAATATAAATGCTATATTCTGAACTTCATACAAATATTACTATTTTGTTTTGCAACATGTGATAAACTAAGACTGCAATAAATTCTGTACAAGAACAGTATTATAAGATAATAAACTTATTTTAAGAATAAAGAGTCGTACTTCATCTGGATATTGGGAAGGAAGCGGTACATGTAGATGTGGCCGTAGCACCGTAGCTCCTGGACGAACTCCTCTGCCAGCAGGGCGTGGCACTCTCTGGGGAAGTACCTGAGGGCGTTACTCACAGCCACCTGCGGGAGAGGGTGACACCTCAGGTACATGTTGCAGTAAGTGACACTTGTGATGCAAGTTGCAGTGAATGGCACTTCAGGTGCGGGGTCCGGTGTCATTATAGTTCATAATAATAACTTGAAGTTTAGATATGACCAATAAATAATAATAAATTTTGATACTGCACCAACCACCTCACACTAGCACTCATCCTCCTAAGATTTCCCAACGTCAAGAAAAGTCCATTTAAAGTGTCCCCGTATCCTAACCTACCAGAGGAACCCAAAACAGAAAAGTCGTTTCCATTTTCTTGTACGACAGTTTTTGGCCTTATTAACGCATACGAGCGAAAAGCGACCTTCTTTGTAAGATGATAGGTTGGTCCCCGCTCCCGTCTCTTACACACCTACATAACTATCTGCGCCCCTTCATGTGTCTCCAGATTGCTCAGTTTCGTGGAGTGAAGAAGCATGATTCAATGAGAATCCAACGAGCGCTGCAGCTCCTCAGATCATATGAATCAAGAAACCCGCAAAAGGTCTATTGGCCTATACATGGCAGTTCCTATGTATATTCATCCAGACTCATTCACATTATGTGTAACCTGCGCTTGAAACAATCCAGCCATTTGACGTCTATTATGTTACCTGGTAATTTATTCCATAAATCAGTAATCCTGTTTCTAAATTTCAATTTACCCAGGTTTTTACCTAAATCCAAACTTATCCAATTAATATCCATGACTTCGAGTTCTATTTTGTGTTAATATATTTAATATATTTATATATTTATGTTTTTTTCATCCACTTGTACATTTCAATCACTTATTCTTTGCCTTTAAAGAAAATGTAACCTAATCTTTCTAAATCTCTCTTCATATAGGTTTCACATTCCTGGAATTAACTTACTGAACGCGTCCTAGTGAATTTATGTCAATTCTATACCATGGCTACCAACGCTGAACTGCAGTCTAAATGAGGCCTAATAAAAGCAAGATATAGCTGAAGAATAATGTCCTATTAATAACGCTCCTAGAAATAAATCCCGTTAACCGATTTGTCATATTCCGAACATTTATGCACCGAGTTTTTGGTTTAAATTCTGGCTGTAGTTTTGTATAATAGTACACAGTAATTCATTTTATAAATGAACAAGAGATTCAAGAGATGATCTACACATTTTATGATAAGGCATGGCAGTTTTTGGTAAGCACACACATTTAGTAATTAATGTTCACAATAACAGAACACCCTGGTTGACATGTTCACCTCACAGCCTCATCCAACTTTACCTCACAGCCTCATCCACTTTTACCTCATACCCTCATCCACCTTCCCCACATAACCTCATCTACCTTCACGTCACCCTCGTCCACTCTCATTCACCTTCACCTCACACCACGTCCAGCCTCACGCTGCATAATTCACTCCAGTTAATTCTACGTTCAAAATTATATTTGTAATATTCCTGTGTGTCGTTTTCTTCCTATTTCATTTCCATCAATGCTTATATAAAATGATTAAGTTTAGCTTTAATTACTAATATTACCTCTTTTATTTATATTTTGTTCTATTTATTTGCATTACTTTATTATTTAAAAAAATTATTGTCCCTCTTAATTAGAATTTCTATTTTATAGCCTAATCACTGGAAGAATTTGTGATTTATAAACATACGTGTATCTTAAGTATGTTTCTGGGTTGTGAGGCGCGAGGTGGGGGGGGTGGGGTTAGGTGAGATTGTGAGACGCGAGGTGGGGGGCTAGGTGAGGTTGTGAGGCGCGAGATGGGGGGCTAGGTGAGGTTGTGAGGCGCGAGGTGGGGGCGGCTAGATGAGGTTGTGAGGCGAGAGATGGGGGGCTAGGTGAGGTTGTGAGGCGCGAGGTGGGGGGCTAGGTTAGGTTGTGAGGCGCGAGGTGGGGGCGGCTAGATGAGGTTGTGAGGCGAGAGATGGGGGGCTAGGTGAGGACGGACGGACGGACACACAGGTGTGTGACTCACTCACCTGTTGTTGCTGCAGGGAGAGGTTGTGGGCCCTGATCGGGGCGTGAGGGACAGTGGGGTCCCTGGGCCGTGGGGGCGGCAGGGGGTCAAGGGGCAAACCGGCACACAGGTCAACCAAGGTCAACCTGGGCCGGTCACTGGCCACCTTGGCGGAGGTCAAGGTCGCCACGGCTGCCATCTTGGGCTGGGGGTCACCACCTTCACGATGTATAACTTGCTTGTGGGCGTCGTTGGTGTGGGGCGTCGCTGGTGTGGGGCGTCGCTGGTGTGGGGCGTCGCTGGTGTGAGGCGTCGCTGGTGTGGGGCGTCGCTGGTGTGGGGCGTCGCTGGTGTGGGGCGTCGCTGGTGTGGGGCGTCGCTGGTGAGTGGGACGTCGCACGCTCTCTAAAACCACAATCGTTAACAAATGAACGCACTAAAACAAAAAGTTAAAAGTCCAGCTTTGCTTTTAGACCAACTTGATAATAAAAATCGGCACCCACTGGCCCCAAAAAAAAAGTTTTCAGTTAAAACCTTCGAAACTAAGTTTCAAGTAAATGTTGTAACCCCTCTTTCAGGGGGATAGAGAAAGACGATAGATAATAAATGAGAGATTAATTTCTAAACAGAAGAGGTGACGCGCACGTCCTCTTCCAGGCTGATGGACCTCACTACTGAGGGTGGCAGGGCTGCCAGATCTAAATTGCTGAAAGTAGCGAGCTGACGGTCTAAAAGTAGCGAATCTGTAATAAGAGTAGCCCAATTTTTTTAGTGAATGATATGGGTTTCAAAGTAATATATTTTGATATATAGAGTACACTACACGATGTTAATTGTTTTATTAATATTATTTCTGCACATACACATATTATATATCTATCTATCTATATATATATATAGATATATAGTCAAAGCGTTCTTAGTGATATATATATATATATATATATATATATATATATATATATATATATATATATATATATATATATATATATATATATATATATATATATATATATATATATATATATATCACTAAGGTGATATATATCACCTCTTGCCGCCAGAGGTGGATAGTTCATTAAGCATCCCCTATTCAACCAGTGAGTGGTGGTTTATTGTGCACCCCGAACCCCGACCAGTTGTGTAAGCGGACCCCGACCAGTTGTGTAACTGCAAGCCTAGCATGAACGAACCGACAATAAACATACTTAAACTTGAAATGGACTTTAATGTTTTTCGGCAGCTTTATTTCCTTAGTTTCCGAGCTGTTTTCTTTACTGTGTATGTTGTAATAAACTATTCCTATATTTACAGTTGTTTCTCCCTGTGAAGATTATTAAACAATGGTGATTATAAGGGCGCGGAAGTTCAGCCTGGCCAGGGCCGCCAGCAGCCCTTGGGCCCGCCCCGGCAGCTCCCAGTCTTTAATTTGGCACCTTTGTGGCACCTTTGTGGGACCTTGGTATAAGGTTAACATGTATATATTCACTGGCTGCCTGTCCCCCCTACACAATGATCTATTATTACCTATTATTTTATCATTTAATTTAAATATTAAATAAAATAATGCATTTAATTATTATAGTAAGTACTTAATAATTTAATAATAAGTAGTAAGTACATAAAAATTATTAAAAAGTACAGTTTAGTCATAGGAAATTCCTAGATTGGAATTCACTACCAAATTTCAATATATCCAAGTATTTTTAGTGTGAAATGCTGTTATTATATGCATAAATTGTTGTTTTAATAATATTACGCTTAACCACATGGGCTGGACGGTAGAGCGATGGCCTCGTTTCCTACAGGTCCGCGTTCAATCCCTGACCGCCCAAAAGGTTGGGCAAAACTCCTTTCCCCCGTTCCATCCCAAATCCGTATCCTGATCCCTTCCGAGTGCTATATAGCCGTAATGGCTTGGCGCCTTCACTTGATAGTTCCCCCACCCCCCTGAATAATATTACGAGAGCAGTATTTACGGGTTATTCATGCCCGTGCCACCTCTTGGGTGGCTTAATCTTCATCAATCGAGAGCAGTACGTCCTAATCAGACGTTATATGATGATATCCTGAACAGTTGATAAATAAAAGTAATTGCGGAACTCCAGTTATCTAATTCTTATCATAAACGGTATAAAACCTTATCATAAGCCAAGGGATTTGTAGATCAGCGTTTAAAGGGAATTCGGAAGTAATAATAACACAGCTGATGCCATCTGTCGGCAGAAGAGAACACTATCAACTGGCTGGTCAACAGCGGCCATAAGATACAGCTTACGCCATCTGTTGACATCAAATTACACTTATAACAAATTACCCTACAAAATACAACTAACGCCATCTCTGTTTTTTCCAACGCACTATAAATAGCCGAACAGCAACCCATAAGGCGGGTTGTTGTGCTCGGGTAGGAGGTTCCAAGCTCCGCCCACAGATGGTATGGGGTGCATAATAAATGGCATAGATATTCTTGACATTCACACAACAGCCAATCACAGGAAGGGATCAGCTAAAGGCTCCATCCACTTAATAAATCATCTTTATTCAGCACACCATCCTTGCTTATGACATTCTGCTTCAACTTTAATCTACTTTAAAAGTGAAATGTTAAGTGTTTAAAAGTATCAATATAGTGATAATTAAATACTGCAGGATGTAACGAGTGTTACAGAAACATGGGCTATAGGCTACCTGACTTGTGACGTCATCAGAGGGTGTTGCCTCACACAAATAATATCGGCGATACAATGCCTCCGTCCTCTTATTGGTCTACATTATTCAGTTAGATGGAAATTTCTGTCTTGTATAAAACAGAAATTGTTATTCTTTTGTACAACAACACCAAGGTTATTGAGCAAAAGGACGTATTTCTTATTTTGCATTTTATTCATATAAGCGTTGGCATTCCCCGCAGCAGCCAATCACAGGAAGGTATTTGTTGGAAACTGTCTTCAACAAAAATTATTCCTAATGAACTCTAACAATAAATTCGTTTAATAAACGAGTATTTAGGGTCAAGCTACAGATGAACATTATAGGATAACGGTGTTTTAGCTTGCAGCTTCGTTAGACAGAATCCCTGGTCTTAATTTTAAAAATAAAGAACTAGAAAGCGTATTTCATTGCTAACTTTTCGAGAAATAAATCCCAGTCTCATATTTGCGTACATTTATGCATTAATTTTTTGGCTTAAGTTCTTATCATAATCCCTTTTGCAATCTCAACGCCATCTGGCTCGTATCTCGTATCTTCGTTACTTAGCCTCAAAACCTTACATTTGTTTTACATATCCTCAACAGTGGATAAAAAAAAAGTAATTGCAGAATTCTAGTTACTTAATACCAGCATGGTATAAAACCTTATTATAAGCTACCAGACGTATAGATCAGTGTTTAAAGTAATAATAATACATTATTATTAATGTAATAATATTATTAAAATAATAATAATACAGCTGATGCCATCTGTCGGCAGCTAAGAACACTATCAACTTTTTTTTTTTTTTTTCCTTTTTAGCAGGGATAATCCTGCGCGGGCCCTAAGCCTCTGGCTGGCCCACTAAGTGTTGCTTGTTTCTGTTTTACATGGGAGGAGTATGAGTATTCATGACTCGTATGGTCGCTTCAGTAAGATTTTGCCATATGTGTTTAACAACGTCCTCTGCTCCGTTGAATCTAAGGTGAAATCTTAACGGGTTTGTAACTGTGCACTGTGTTAGATAATGTTCCAGCGGTCTGTCGGGCATTTCTCCACAGTGTTGACATTTCCTCTCATCTTCCGGAACCTGTAAGCCCATTTCCCATGCACATGGGTATCCAAGCCTGATGCGATGTAAGTGCACTTCTGTTGTTCTACTGCCCCCTTTCATCAAACTAAGTGGTTCGTAGTTGGTTGAATTCTTGTACCAACCCGCAGATCCTGATGTTGCAACTGCTGTGGTGTGGTCACTGTACATCATTCGCATTGCCCTGTTTCGAATTACTTTCTTCATCTGGGATAGACTCTGTGGTATGTAAATGTCTACATTTCCCCCACTTATAACAAATTCCCCTACAAAATACAACCAACGCCATCTGTTACTTTTCCAACGCACTATAAATAGCCAAACAGCAACCCATAAGGCGGATTGTTGTGCTCGGGTAGGAAGTTCCAAGCTCCGCCCACAGATGGTATGGGGTGCATAATCAATGGCATATCATTGGTAGAAACTCTTTGTTGACATTCACGCAACAGCCAATCACAGGAAGGGATCAGCTATAGGTGCCATCCACTTAGTAAACCATCTTAGTTCAGCCCACCAATCCTGCTTATGGAATTCTGCTTCAACTTTAATTTTCTTAAAAAAAAGTGGTGTTAATTATATAAAGTGTTAATAAAGTGATAATTAAATATTGCAGGATATAACAGATGTTATATAAAAATGGGTTGGCTACCTAACTTGTGACGTTATTATTGGGGGTTGCCTTGACACAAATAATGATACACTGCTCTGTCCTCTTATTCCAGTAAATTATTCAGTTAGATGGAGATTTCTGTCAGGTGCAAAACAGAAATTGTTGTTCTTTTTCACAACAACCTTGTTGTTGTGCACAAGGACCTATTTCTTAGTTTAAATTTTATTCATAAAAGAGTGTTGGTATTCCCCGCAACAGCCAATCACTGGAAGGTATTTCTGGAAGCTCGGCCTCCTTATGGACGCAGCACATCGATCTAGCTCATGGCTCTCTGTTTTATCTCTTGTATATACAAACTATGACTTTTTCGATTACTGTTATAATTAATAATATGAGATATAAAAGTTTTTACACAAAATGGGTAAATTCTGCCATTAAATGGACTTTGTCTGGTATACATACAAACATACACCAATTTATTACCATCTTGAGATGATTTCGGGGCTTTTTAGTGTTCCCGCGGCCCGGTCCTCGACCAGGCCTCCACCCCCGGGAAGCAGCCCGTGACAGCTGACTAACACCCAGGTACCTATTTTACTGCTAGGTAACAGGGGCATAGGGTGAAAGAAACTCTGCCCATTGTTTCTTGCCGGCGCCCGGGATCGAACCCGGGACCACAGGATCACAAGTCCAGTGTGCTGTCCGCTCGGCCGACCGGCTCCCATTCATCCATTTTTAATTTCAAATGTAATGTATACTGTCTAGTTTTTTCCTCTCGCCATTACTTGATGCAATATTTGAAAGTTGTCTATTTACTTATCGATCTATCTATTATCTTGTATTTATATTTACAAGTTTCTGTGCTTGGAAGAAAACTCTGCATTGAATTGGGACTAATTTATTAAATAATATTATTTAGTATTAATTAATATTTACAATTATTATTAATCACAATTATTTATAGCTTAGTTACTTTCATGTAACTCGCAATCGTACATTCTTAACATTAATAGCCCAAATTAGCACATCTTGCTTTTAAATTAGCCCAAAAAGTAGCAAGTAGCGAAATTAAAAATTTGGGAGCGCGGGGCTCTCAAAAGTAGCCCAATTCGCTATTTGTAGCCCAATCTGGCAACACTGGAGGGTGGCGGGCTGGCATGGCTAGGCATCTCTTCTGGTCCCTCAGGCGATCACCACTACACTCATTTTCAGGCCAATTTTGGGGTGTTTAGCATTTATTCAGTAGTGTATTAAGC